AGCCGTCGACGAATTACGCCAAACACCAACAGATTCTCGCCGATGTGGGCTCCTCGCTCCTTAAGTGTTGTTCGTATGAGCTACCGGCGTGCTTATTTTGTAAGGAAACAAGTCTTCTCGCCGTTTATAGGCAGGCCATTCGTCCGTCCGCAACTGGCAGCGTTGCCACGCTGGAAAACTGCTGGAAAACTGGAAACTCGAACTACACGAACGCAGGATTACTGACTTCAGCGTAGGCCGCGGGGACGCGCAATCACATGAGCAGCCCCCCGTGGACGCGCTCACGATATTGTATCCTATCATACAATGAGATATCAAAAGGCTGTTTCATCGCGACTGTGCCAACGTTGAGTCACGCCTGCTTCACTACAGATACGAGGGTCATTCAGGAATTAATGGACAGTTTCTGTCCCGCTATGAAATTCAAATAATCCGTGCAGAAAAATACAGAAACATGCACTTGCTTGTGTGTAAATTCTAACTGTCCGAGAAACAATGTGACTCAAATGTAATTTAAAATACAAAATGTTAACTCTTGGGCAGACTCTGAAATTGCTTTTTTTCCCCTTTGGCCCCCCATTTTGATGACAAATTCCAAATATAATAGGGGGGGGAAAGTTTAAAAAATTTTTGTTATGATTTTGTTGATATGTATTGCTCGCAACCGTGAAAACATTTTGTTTTATCACGGACTATATTTTAAAAGTTGCAGTTGTGCTCTGAAATTGTGTCTTTCAAGGTACCTGCAAGCGACCTAAATGAGTTTTCTCCGCAGGTTGTCTGGGCTTAGAGATAAAGTGAGAAGCTCCGTCATCCAAGAGGAGGCTCAGAGTCAGCCGCTTCTCCTCCACGTCGAGAGGAACCAGATGAGGTGGCTCAGGCATCTGATTAGGATGCCTCCTTGACGCCCCCTGGTGAGGTGTTCCGGGCATGTCCCACCAGCAGGAGGCCCCAGGGATGACCTAGAACACGCTGGAGAGACTATGCCTCCCAGCTGGCCTGGGAACGCCTCAGGATACCCCGGGAAGACCTGGAAGAAGTGGCTGGGGAGAAGGAAGTCTGGGCTTCCTTGCTAAGGCTGTTGCCCCTGCGACCCGACCCCGGATAAGCGCTAGAAAATGGATAGATGGATGGATGGATGTACTTGCAATCTTGTTGCTAAAACCGTTGAATCTATTCCAGAGGAAAAGAAAAGTGAGCCACATGACTCAGCAGAAATGTTATCATCAAGCTGATTGCTTTGACCATTAGGAGAGATAAGGTAATGCCTCTCCAGTTTTTCCTATTGTAGTGTGTCACTTAAACCGATGGAACTCTTGTTACTCAAATTATCAGAAAAAAATCATTATGTCTAAGGTTTTCTTTTTTTTTAGGCACACGTTTTAAGTTCGAAACATCTCACAGCACACCACCAAACAAAACTGTCATAAAAAGTGGCCACATAGGTCAATTGCATACTTTTTGCCATCTAATCGAAGATAATTTTTTAAATTCTGTCTGTCACTATAAATTGCTGGTATAGATAGATGGGAAAGATAGACGATTTGTTATAAATAAAAAAAATTCTGACCAATTAGGTAAATTTTTATAATTCCCCATCGCACACCTTGAGAGCGCTCACGGCACATAATGTGTCCCGGAACACTGGTTGGAAATTACTGCCGTTGACCAACTGCTATTTGTGAAAAGTCATGCAATACGGTTATTATAAATGCAATTGAAAAAGACAAACCCCAAAACCCCTCACCACATAAGTTATTTGGGGAGAAAAAAAGGATAAACCTCCAACAGGCATTTAAAAAAACGGTGGTTGACCCCCCCCAAAAAACAAAACATATTGAAACAAACATGCAAATATGTGAATCCGCGAGTATGTGGGATCCACTGTAGTTAAATTTGCTCTTGACCAGTGATTATACATGTAGCAGTTCACACAGCTCGTATGTATTCTCAAAAACATCCGCATTGATTTGTAACCCTATTATTTTAATTAAAGTACAGCATTACACAAAGTTAATTATTATTCAACTACAACGTTATTTAATTGCAAATCATTTATTCCGCAATAATGTTTTTCAGATGCCTGAATAACTGCAACAGGGTTGCGCCAAACAGAAAAATATGGAATTAGACAAAATATCTCATATCCAATTTTTCAAAGTTGTTGGTGCCTAAATTATCCTCCAATTCTCGAATAATCCACAATTTTTCATGTTGCCTTTTGCATGTGTTTAAAAAAAAAAAAAACTCAAACTTGGTACACAATTTTGAAATGTGTTTTTAATGAGAATAAATAACACTCTAAAATGTTGTACTTTATGAAAACATACAGTAAAATTATTCAATAAAATGTGAAGAATTAAACTGTTTTTGCCACATTTTACACTTCAGTTCAGTGGACATTTTGCTGTTCCTCCTGGTGTGCCTTCCTTGGCCACTTGGGGGCAGTGTGATATGGACAGCGACACATATGAAGAAGAGTTTTATGAATGACACAGTCAGCTGAAGTAATATTGGTCGTTTTTCACAACAAATAAGAACTATAGACCTGTTAGTATTGTTTTGTGGTCTGTGTACATGTTTTGCACATCAAAAGGCCTTTATTCAGGCAAAGTTATGTTTTTGAAAGTCGTTCTCGAACTGCCAAACCGCTGTGTGTTGTGACATGAGTTGTTTGGTTATGTTCACTGCCTGCATCTATAATTTGTGCTTGCTTTTCAAAGCAAAAAGTATCTCAAAATAGCACATATTTCCAAAATGTGCATTTTGCTTGTATCTCAAGGCACCACCGTATAGTTCAAAGGTCCGTATCGTAGCACATGACCAAAGGTGCAACGAGATGATTTATCCCTAAATCATTTTAGCCAATTTATTTCCAAAATGCATATAAAACTGGCATCCCTTCGCATTAATCATTGCCCAAGAAGTAGTTTTCAGTTTCTAAAAAGGTTGGTGACCCCTGGTTTTAAACCCACCGTGTGTTTTTTCTAGGATGTTTTTCACATATTGCTTTTAAATGCTTTGTTGTGGATCAGGAAAAGGAAGACAGGCGCCCCTGCCTCCCCTTTAACCTTGCATCCCCTTCTGACGGTGGGAAAATGCAGCAGCAGATTGCTGTGCTCCATGTATAGTAGAAAGTGTTCAGGATTTATTTTTACATGTTTGACCACACCAATAACAACTCACTGGCTTTGGTATGCATGTCAATGATTGCCAAAACAAATGGTTTACTCATTAAAAGGTCCTTGACCTGACTAGGCTAACACTGAATATGTCCAGCAATTGTTTGGATTTTACCAATACTGTAGCCCCGATTTTTTTTAATGAGTGCAGTTCAATACAAAAATGCTCTTTGTTTGGTTTTAAATAGAAAAAAATATTTTCTATATTGATTAATTCACCTTTTTTAGATTTCCCAACGTGGTAATAAAATGCAAGTCATGTGTAAAGTCATTAATTAATGGAGTCATGAAATGAAAAGACACCCCTTCTCTACACCGTGTTCCAAATAATTCTGCATGGAGGATTTGAGACAGGTTTGACAATTCGTTTTTCAAACACGAAGGGTAAATGCTTATGGAGGTTGTTCCACATAATTAAGAAGGATCTTTCTGTTGGTCGTAAAGCATGGACCAGTCCAATACCTTCGTGAAAGGAATGAAAACACAGAACATATTAGGAAAACATGAGATAATTGATGAAAAAAAACATTAAAAATTTAAAAAATGTGCCTCATAGCATATTTACCTGTGCAACTGGCTTTGAGCTGGCCTCCAAAGTGGTGTTCCACAGCCTCATAGGAGACCTTAGCTGAGTTGTCAGAGAACATAATGTTTATTCTCCTGGCCTCGACCTCTCTCGTGTACCTCTTCAGGCAGGTAGCTAAAGCTGTGAGTCTTTGCTTGGCGCTCTCAAGTGCCTCATCTGTGGACCTCTTGTATTTCTACAGAAGTTTCTTTTTTTTTTTTTGTTCCAGTCTCTACTTGTGGGGGCAATGCGCATGGGACTGTCCTAATTCAATCAAATGGCACACACAGACATGCTGGCAGCCATCAGTTAATCTCAGTAATGAAATTTGAGACAAGGCTCTTAAATCTCTCCTCCCATTTCTACATTACCTGAGGAAAGCTGCCAAACCGGGCCGCCTTAATGGCTAAACAAACCGTCAGGCCATTTCATCTTGGGTCTCATTCGTTCAACTACCTTGGAGCCACCATCATGGGCATAACACAATGTCCTGAATATTAGTAGGCTGTCGATGCCTTCGGACCAAGACATTACCTTGGATAAGATTGATTTTTACGGCCAGTCTCAGAAAACCAACATTGTAGCTTGAAAGTTACAGTATTTAAAACGAGTAGATCTTGCTGAGCTGCATGAGTTAAGGTCAACAAGTGTCAATAAAGACCGTCGATTCTGAGATAGTTAAACCTCATTGTGTGCTAATGGGTATTTCTTTATTATATTGTAAGTGGTGCAAAATGTGGTCACTTGTGAACAGTTTCACCCCGCTCCGAATAAACAGGTAAGGCTGTTAGTTGTCAGACAATTGCCACATAGTAGGGGGTCGAAGATAAACAAATGCAGGCTTCCTCCTTCAAGCTAACAGGAAGTACAGTTGTGCTCTTAAGGGAGGCGCATTCTACATCGGGGGCTGTTTCATCATGGGGTAGCAGAATTGTTTAAGATTCTGCCCTTGAAGAAGAAAGACTCTTTCTTTCGTGTGTCAAAGGTTGATTTTTCGTATCGCCTATAAAGGAGCCCATGCTCTCAAGGCGCCACGCAAAAGCATCATTCACCCCTGTCACGTCTTCCGGTTTGGATCAAAAGTGACGGTAATGACATAGTGTTTCCTGTTTATTCTTCACTAGTTCCCAGTCAACTCCCCCGATGATTAGCCTGTTGCTTTAGTCTAGGACTGTACAAAGAAGTTCTAATTTGCAGGTTTGTAAAAGGGCCTATAATGGGCTCCCAGATCCTGAAACGCTGCCAAATACCACTTTTTTTTTTTGAGGAATGAAACAGACGAATAGGAGCCGCAAATAAATGACTGCAACTGTAAAGCGACAAGAGAAATAAGAAATAATTCAGTAATTGCCGACGAGTTCAAAAATATCACTAGCATTCATCCTGGGTGAACAGACGAATGTATGTCAACATTTTTAAAAATTCAGAGGTTGTAGAATGACTCACATGAGCTTTTACCACGAATGAAATCTTGCATCATCCTCAACATGATGAGTTTGCTAGACTGTGACTGATGAGAAAAACAAAAATAAATACTGTCTCAGTCTACATTTAACAACATATCTTCCCACTTGCATCGTGTAGAGTGCCGACTTTAAGCTTCATTCTTCAATACAATATTTTATTTTTATTTATCTAGTGGGAGTGGCTTAGTGGAATTTTTTTTTTCGCCCCCCAGGGTGGTGTGTGTCACAGGAAATAAATGATTGTACACACTCAGCCAGTTTGTCATTCAGTAAATTGCTGGAAGTAAAAAAAGATGACTCTATGCCCAATTTGCTGAAGCACAACATGAAGTACCAAGTCAACCATAATGTGAGCTATTCCAATGGTAGAAAACTACATACATACAGTTTGGCAAAAAAAAAAAAAAATGTACAAGTCCATCACGCCATATTGTAGTCAGTCCAAGCAAAATGTCATTTGAGAAGTGTGTCCTGTGTCTGACTGACTCCAATCCATTTTACGCTCTCATGCCTGTGGGGAATGTAACAGAGTCATACTGTACGGCCGAGAACTGTCTTGGACATAGACTGAGAGCACAGCCTGATTAGCAAATCAGCGCGGACGCTCTCAGTTTTCCAGCATCTCGGATGAAGTGTATGAAAAGTCTTCAAACTCATCCTGATTGGTGGAGGACAGAGAGGAGTCATCGATGGGCGTGAGGGTGGGCTCTTCTCTCGTAAAGTCCGGGTCAAAGTTGTTGACGTCTTCTGGTGTTTTCTGAGAAAGACAAAAGGTATATGTCGAGATGAGATGATTACAAAGACTGCATCGCGTCTGCTTGGTATTTGTAGAGGAGGATGTGTGGCGTACGATCTTGGGCTTGAAAGGTGGCTCGATGGCTCGACGATTCAGCATCTCCCAGTCAATGTTTCTGAAAAAGGCATGGCTGGTCACAGCAATTTCGCCACCCTCCGATGGCACACAACCCAGGCGCTGGAGTGGGTTTTTGGTCAGGAGCTATGGATTGAAGAAAGGAAGATGAACTTGGGAAAAAAAAAAAAACGTGTCATCCTACAAAATGATACTAGATCACAGGTGTCAAACTCAAGGCCCGGGGGCCTGATCTGGCCGGACACATCATTCTATGTGGCCCGCGAAAGCAAATCAAACATGTCAACTTCTACGCGGATTGCTAAAATCTGGACCAAGAGAGATATTGTTAGCATTTTCATGTTACCAGATCGAGTATGACGTTATAAGGAAAAGGGAACTTGAAATTGTGATCTATCCAAGACATGATGAGAAGTATCTCTCTCTCACCACAGCGCATCGATTTCAGAAGGTGAACTGAAGCCCATGCAAGTTGACATTCAGTGAGTAAGGCCTCACCTCCCAACTCACAAAAACACACCCAGATTTTTTTTTCTTGGCACAACACGCAAGCACCAGTTGAGAAAAGTTCAACTTGATTCAACAGTAGTGCAACCGTTCCAGCTTCCTGGTGTTGTACACAAAGAAACAATCAAAGCGTAAATCACAGGTCCAGCTCTGACAGCTGCTCCGGGGTGTGGCCAAAAATGAAAGACGACTGTGTTTTGACTCGCCTTCAGCAAAAGAGCGAATAAGCAAATGTATTTTGGGGACAAGGTGCACATCTTAAGGCTGGCAATGACATTCAGACTCGGCCAATAAAACAAATGAGCCTTTCACTCCCCGGTGACAGCCACGAGATAAACACCAAGTCACTAGACAAATGAATAAGACTTCCCAAATCAATTGGCTTAGTGGCTTTCAATGGAGTGCTCTCATGCCCTCTCATGAATCTAGAATAGGGCTGCCTGCAACTAACGATCAACGATTTAACAATCAATTAATCTGTCGATGATTTTGTTGATTAGTCAATGAATCGGATTAAAAAAAAAAACGTTTCCATTTCCATCCCTTTATTCAAAAATAGAAGACTCTTTCGAATTAGCAGTGCAGAAAATGAATACACTAATTAATTAGGACGGGTTTGCTCTGTAACACGTCAGAAAACAGGCAAAAATGTTGATCACTGTTTTCCAAAGTAAATGCAAATGTTTTATTTCGATTCAAAAATCCATGTAAAGTAACTGCTACTTCCAAATATGAACTGAAATAAGTCATTTTTAGATTGTGGATTCCATGAAGATGCTGGATAGATAATATTCTCTCCAGCACATCTTCATGCTAGTTAAAAAAAGAACTTCCAGTTACTTGAATAAAGTGAGTTTTTATCACAAACCTATCCTGTAAATATCGGCGGTACCCCTTATAGATCCAATAGAATAACAGGAACTGTTTGAACCTGTTCACGGAAACAAGGAGAGCCTTGCGGCGGATCGTCTGTCATTATAAATGGAGCAGCACGTTCAAAATCCGCTCACACTTAGAGGACTTTTTATGTAACATGTGACACACAAATGAGCTTAGCGCAATGCTTCGTCAAGCATGTTGGCGTAACAACATGGGTTAGTGAAGCAGCACAGCCAATGACAGGGGGACGTGCCCACTTTGTTGTATTTATAGCCAGTTCGCTGAGACAGGGCAGTGGACCATGGCTTAATATAGTTATGTAAGAAGTGGTCCAAACAGCTGGCCAGCAAAGCGATTGTAAGCCTGCCCGCCACTCTGCAGTGAGTGTCTCAGTCAGTCTGAAGCGTGACAAATAATCAACCAAACAAAGCAGAACGTAGCCCATTTCAATTCTGGTTCTGCAAGAGCTACTCAGGAATGTGGCAAATTGATCATTTTGTTAATGATCGCGGCTTAATGTCTTTTCCTGCGCGATGGGGGACACAAACCAAGTGAGAAATGGATTTTCTCTATCATTAGTTCAGCGTGGAAAAAACGTCAGAGTCCAACAGATGCAATCAGAGCGGATTTAATGGCTGCCAAGGAGAGAAAGTGACTCACATCCCGAATTAAGTCAATGTTCCTTTTTAAAGAATATAAACAGTAAATAGAGAGACTCACAGCTTTGAGGATATTCACGGACTCGACACTGAGCCAAGCGGCATAAGCAATCTCTTCATGGAGGATGGCCTCAAAGAGGTCATCTTCATTTTCGGCCTCAAAGGGCGCGTGGCCTTGCAGCATCTCGTACAGTAGCACTCCGAGCGCCCACCAATCAACAGAGGCGCCGTACACCATTTCCTGAAGGATCTGTGAAACAATGCCACAGGTCGGCAGACAACATTCATGATCACGGCCAAGGGAGTCTTCCAGGAAATGTGAACTACATGAGGTGCAGCAGAGGGATGTTTGGTCTATTCTTGTGAGGTGGAAACATTAAATGGATCCCTCCCCATTGCTTTTGTGCGTGTGTGTTTGTCTGTGCAATTTGCCAGAAGTGGCAAACGCCTTTACTTAGTAATTACATTTTACTGTCACTTATTTACAATAATTGTTTGTACAACCTTGAACAATGGAGGGAATACAAAATAGTTTCCCTCTTTTATTTCATAGTAAATGTTCTGAAAACGCAAGCTTGTGTTGAGTCAAGACTTCTATGCCTTCAAATTAACGTGTTCCCACAGCTTTGCTCATGTGAACGCTGATAATTTTCTCATGGTAATGGAAAACAGTAATGTTGACATTTGGGGGAAAAAAAAAAGGAAATTGAATGATTAATGATAACTCCTGAAAGACAACACCCTACAATGTGATTTTTCAGATCCGAGACAAATTATTTGAACATCAGAGGATGCCCAAGAGAAAGCATTCACTACCAATCTTTCTCATCGGCAACAACATCAAACAATTCTCTTAAATAAGACCCAGGATGTTGAAGATCGCTAATGCTCCCTGGTCCATATTCCTTGCATTTTTTTTTTGTCTTATAGGAACTCAAGATCTCAATCGATCAACATCTCAACCACGAACTCATTTCGACAGAGTAAGGAGTGGAGGCTACATTTTCAAATGTAGGCAGCAAAACTGAAGAGTCATGCCCCCCACGCCCCCAAGAAAAAGAGAAAAAAACCCACTCAAGCCCCTGAAAAAATCTACTTAAGTACAGTCACAAAGTATTTGACTCAAAACCTCCCTATTTATCAGGGCTTGGGACTTTCTACTTCAAATAATGTTTTTCAAGCCGCTTTTCAACACACGGGGAACAGGATGTTCCTGGTATCACTGAGATAATGAGTTGAGTTACGACACTAGGTTTCATGCACATACTGCATATTCATAAACCCTTGTTTGTCTTGCACACAGTTCAGCGGCAACCGGAGCACTCCTCAAATGAGGAAACGAGTGTTGTTGTAGTAGTAGAGGTAGTAGTAGGTTTTTTTTTCCTCCTTTCAAATGCTGACACTAGTGACCACCATACCCAAGTACGGTAACATGCTGGTGCCGATGGTGTACTGGTCATATTGCATTATTCTGCATAATGTACATACCTGCAGAGTGAAAAAAAAATCAGCATTTGACTAAATGGAGTTGATTGAACATGGGCAAAATTAACAACAAATTTCTTGTCAATGGATTTTTGGTCGGTGCATCTACGTAATAGAAGAGTGATAAGAGTCTCAGGCATGAGTAGATTGTGCTGGTTTGTGTCGAACAATTGTAAGAATAGGCTCATAAGGTCAATATCCCAGCAGCTCGGTCTCAGTGCCCTCACAATGTTTTGAACTTGAACTTTGTTCTTGTAGTTCTTCCAGTAGCTATAAAACGACCAAACACTCCCTTATCATGGGCACACAATGTATTGTGGCCCAGCAGCATGACTATTTTTCATGTCAGATCTTCAAGTAAGCAATTTTTCATGTTTCAGGTGATGTTGTTTATTTATTTATTTATTTATTTTTATTCACGCCATTTCAGGGTAATGGGCCATGCAAGCTCTTGTCATGAAGGCCAAACATGCTTAGGTTAAGGAAAATTCCACCAAATGGATATGAACTCCAGCAGTGTTAAAATGTGACCCCAAGCCAAGGTTTGCTGGCTTCCAGTTAGTCATAAGGGAGGCTGTCTGTGCTGGGAAGGGGGAGGGGCCTTGCATATGACCACATGAGCTCATGTGGGTTACAAGAAGGCATCAACCATGTCTGCCTTTCTGTCATTTAAAAAGTTCGATAAGTCTGAACTGACCTCTGGGGCAATGTAATCAGGAGTACCGCAGAAGGTTCTCGCTCCGATGCCTTCAAATATGCCTTCTTTACACATGCCAAAGTCTGCCAGTTTACAGTGGCCGTCCTTGTCAAGGAGAACATTATCCAGCTTGAGATCCCTGAAAGGCAAACACAAACAGACAAGTGAAAATCACAGTAATTGCGTTGTGACATGATCATCTTTCTCCTGGAGATAGATCAATGGCTTGCGAGCGAGTGGCTGCAAGCCAGCTAGTGATCAAAATCCAACAGACAATTAGTCAAAATCTGTAGCGGGGAGGAAATATTGTTTGAGGGCCAATTGACATGTGAGAGAAGCATTTGTCATGCGTATGAGCGGCATACAGACAGCTAAGAAGAGGAAAGGAACATTCTGTTGACCGATTGCCCCATTGGAGAATGATCAAATAAAGCTTCAAGCACTGTGCTGTAGATTATAGAAAAGCTTGATAAACAGCGCTAGAATTTTACTGCATGTAACTTACTACTAACACGTAGATTTCTGCAGAATTGAACTATCTATCCCTGGTGTCAACAGCATTTTGTAAGGTCAAAACGTCAGTTAACAAATAAAACCTCAGCTGTCAAGAAGTCCCATTACAAAGAGAACAATGCTTCGTTTTTGATTGACACTGTGAGAGAAGTACTGATTTAACATTGTTCTTTAGTGAAATTCTCTCGATATTTTTTATGAGTTATAGAACTGGAGTGCATCATACAGAAAGGCGTTAAAAATAACTTATGTATGTAGGTATGTAGGTTCTATTACAATATTCAGGACAGCTCTCTGTTCTCTGTCTGATGTAGTGCACTTAAAGGAGTATTAAGATCCGTTGAAGTGCAATAAACACTCGCCAGGAAACAGCACGATATGCTCATTGCGCAAAAAGCAACCCAATTGATTATTTGAAAGTTACATGTAAATTGAACGAAAAGACTGCCAGTTACCAGACCGAGCTAGCTGAGATTGATCTGGCTTTTTTTTTTTTTTCCAGCTTGCAAGGTCCAATATGAAGCTGCACTAAAGAACCAAATTTCCAAATAACAGTGACTAAGAACATGACACAGAAACGGAGATTTTTTTTTCCCAGACTGTGAAGTTTTTTTTCCTCCGTCACTAAGCAGCAGTTTAAAGCGTTGGAACATTTTAAACTGTCAGTTGAGTTCGGTATTTGCAAGAAAAACCACAAACGGGATTCCTATCATCCAAGAGAAGACAATAGCTGAAGCTACAGCACTCATGAGAGAAAGTTCACATTACACAACATCATAGACTGAGAGTGCCCTGATCTTCTTATCCTGGCTTGATGTGTGTTATTGCGGTTGTAGCATGCAACCTGTGTGAGCCCTCTGCAACCAACAGGCATGCTATAACATGCACTTATGGCTGACACGGGACACATTAGCCTGATAAATATAACTCAGGTTTGACAGAGTACATGATGCCCTTTATCATCAAGTCGTGGCATGGAGCCCTCAGCAAGTGTTGGGTGGGGTTGACCATATTCAATGAGTACATGGAAAACAAAGAGGAGACTGAGGGTAAGCTCAATATGACCCCCACACCAGTAACATGCATCAGGGGTGATTTTTCCCCCAAATAAATCATCAGAAAGATATTTCAAGAGCACAAAATTGAAAGATGTAAGAGTAAAATTTTTTTTAAAAAGCCTGAATTGACATAAGAGAAGCGAGGCCCGGTGGTTGACTGGTTAGCACGTCGGGCTCTCCGCGCAGATGTGCAGTGTTCGATTCTGGCTCCGGCCTTCCTGTGTGGTGTTTACATGTTCTCACGGTGCTTGTGTGGGTTTTCTCCGGGTATTCCGATTTCCTCCCACATTCCAAAAACATGCACAGCAGGTTGATGGGGCACTCCAAATTGTCCCTTGGTGTGATTATGAGCGCAAATGGTCATTTGTCTATATGTGCCCTGCGATTGGCTGGCAACTGGTTCAGGGTGTCCCCCGCCTACTGCCCGAAGACAGCTGGGATAGGCTCCAGCATGCCCATGACCCTTGTGAGGATAAGCAGATTAGAAAAATTGATGGATGGATGGACGGAACAGAAGACAAGGCACTGTATTGTACAAAGTTAATTTTTTTTTTTTTAAAACTGCATGTGGGTTATTCATCAACATTCTGGGAATATTTGTTCGCAGAATAATTATGTATTCCCTGCCGCTGTGTATTTGCTCATTGCTTTTCGTTTCCATTTAGTCATTCCTTTAAGTTTTATAGATGTATGTGGAATTGTTTTGTGTGTGTGTGTGTGTGTGTGTGTGTGTGTGTGTGTGTGTGTGTGTGTCATTCATACCGATAGATGATGCCTTTGCCATGCAGGAACATGAGAGCCGAGGTGATCTCCGCGGTGTAGAAACATGCCCGGAACTCATCAAATCTTCTGGACTTCTGAATGTGGAACATCAGATCCCCACCATTGACAAACTCCATCACGAAGAACAGACGGTCCTGGATATGAGATGAGGAAATAACATATATTTGTGTACATACACTTATAGTTGCAGACCCAGTGGCCCCAGAGAAGCGCTCGTGTTATCAGTCATGACTTGTCACGAGGCCAAGCTCACTTCAAGGACATGGCGGGCAGCTCATACACTTCACGCGGCTGTAATGGCTTGCTGGAGAACTAAATGTGATTTGAAGTTAGTGGGGTGGAAAAATATTGATCAAATTCATAAATCTTTCTTTCTCATTACAGGCTTTGGTAGGTACATAGTGCTGAAATACAAGGATGTGATTCACGGGACTGCCTGTAACGCTTCATTAATTGGTCAGACAGGCAGCAAAAGAAGTGCACTGCTGAAAACCAGAGTGGTCTGCAGTTCTACATTTAATAATGCATAGGACTAACTTTTTTTCAGTTGTCTCATGTTCTTAAAACGTTATTTTTACAGTGGTTGCATGATGTAAACACACTTCACACACAATGTGTCATTATCGTTCATATTGGTGCTGTATCACATTTTGGCGTCTTGATCTTGATGAGCTCCCTTACTAACGAGCGACAACCGTCTAAAAAAAAAAAAAAGAAAAGTTTAAAAACTGGAGGAGGCAGATGTTACTTCGCACCACAATTTCCTGTCATGTTCTTCAAATTTCACTTGAACACAAACAGTGTACTTTCCAGTGTTGGTTTAAAACAATACATGACGTGGTGGAACAAAAGCCACTTGACGGCACTGTGAATAGGTTCAAGGGAGAGGCCTCGGTGTTAATGCTTGTCTTAGCGCTGCTCTATTTTAAACCTGGGTGAAGTAGGACAGTTGAGGCTCAAACATTGAAAAGAAGATTAAGATTGCCGGGGTGGAAAAAGAGCTAAGTATACCGTCTCCTCTGCTGCCCTCTGCTGAATAACTAATGTAATGCAATTCTGGACTGGGGGAATAAAAACTGTGGTCATGTTGCAAAGGTTGGAACATGCCAATGAAAGTCTAGTAACGCTACGTTTTAGTGAAATGGAAATAGTACGGATAAAAATGACACTCATAGTCATTCTTGCTGAGTACTGTAGAAGTACTTGTGTATTTTAAAACAACAATGATAATTGTAATGGGCAATAAAAGGTGCACAAGTAAGCAACAATACATGATAAACTTACCAAATATTGATAAATACTAAAACACATCTGAGCCAACTTGAACCAAATAGACAAAAACAACCACAGAACCACAAACTACAACACCAATACACACAATAAATAAACAAAGCAATACAGTAAACCACGACTATTACACAAACACCTACAAAACATATTTTAGTCTTCCATAATTTCTGTGTCTTTTATTCACCTGTACATTCAACCATAAGAGGATAGCGTAAACAGACATATGCACAGTATGTGTGTGTCTTGCGTCTCCACTGACCTGTGTCTGGAAGCAGCAGTAGAGCTGAGTGAGGTACGGGTGAACGCTGGCCAGTGTCAGCACCCTCTTTTCAGTCATGGTACACTCCACGTCATCGTCCTGCAAGATGATGTCTTTTTTCAGCACCTTGACTGCGAAAACCCGATCTCTGTTGTTGAGTCTGGCAAGCATGACCTGCAGAGACATCACACACATGCATTTTTTTTATTTTTATTTTTTTTTAACCTGAAAGGCATTATTGTACACCACATTTCCGGCCACCCCCCTGGAAGTCTTTCCCACCTTGCCGAAGCTCCCCTTGCCTAGCACTTGAAGAAATGTGAAGTCTGAGATTCCATATTGAGGCATCTCTGGCTGACTTTTCACACTCTTCTTCCTTTCAGAGGGCATCTTGGTTTTACCTGAACCGAACTGTAAAGGCAAAAAGGAAGAAAAAAATATTGGTGGAAGAACAACCACGATGAAGCAGAATTTGTGTTGTCGAAAATTCTCATACTCTTGAGGTGTTTCTTTCGGAGAGATCGCGGGCATGTATCCCCATCTCTGCCAGCTTTTTGGCCAGCTCCACGGTGTTGACGCCGCAGTTCTGTGCAACGTTGCCTTGGCATCGAATGTGAACATTGAGTTTACAGACTGGAATGAGAAATCACAGAACACAAAATGATACGATATACTTGTAGACAGGAGCAGAGTGAGAAACTACTGCCTAAATCCTGATTTTGGGCGTCTTACTCTTGCAGTGTAGGCCCTGCCGGACAAATCCCCATAGGAGCGATCCACAGTGGTTACAGAAAGCGGGTGACTTATAGTTGTGAATATGGAACTGGTGAGGAATGTTGATGCTGAAGCCTGGGCTGACGTACTGCAAAAGTGACACAGTGTGACGTTTCAGAGCTGCTTCCACCATGCTGCATTAAATATAGTCACAAAAAAATGTGAAACTTGAACAGATAATAAACAAGAAGCAATGAAGTAGTCTATCGCTGAAAATATAGAACAGCGGATAGATGTCGTAAATGGGGTTTAAATCAGGTTGTGTTGCATCTCTCAAGCCACCTTGACAAATTAAAGAGATGTGTCAGAGTGTGCGGCATCTACGATGTGGTTCATGTACTTTCCAGCACCAAGAGACTCAAGTCGGATCTGACCTATTCATGGGCAGGCCGATTAAATCGGCTGATTATGGCCCTTACAACATCGGCCAAAATCATCGGCCACATGGTTGATGTTTGCCCGTTGTTTTTACCGTCATCTACTCGAACCCTTTACCGCAGTTGTACACAAGTTACACTGACTTCCTTATTTATGACGTATCAATCTATACAATGACCTTTGACTCTTCAATATATTTAATGAAATGTGTTCATCAATGAAACTTGATCTTTTTTTATAAGCAGCGCTTAGGTGAGCAAGGGTGTCACGCATATCCAAAAGTCAAGCTGTGTTACTAAATCAATAAATAAAGAATAATCATTAACTGCAAAACATTGCAACATAACTGTGCTAAATATGGCACGCGTTCAACAATTGAAATGCACGTGGGAAAAAAATTCAGTATTTTATGCATGACAGATTTTTAAATTAACCGGCCGATAAATCTGTATTTGGCCTCTACATCAGCCTCTAAAAATCCATATCAGTCAGGCCCTACAATCAAGTACTACAAAATACATAGGGGAGTGATGGTACCTCTGACCCCTTCATGCGTGGACACACAGTGACAACTTGCTCGTGGCATCGCTTGTGAACCACACATGTACACACTAGATGGGGGTGGACAAACAAAAAAGTCAAAATCAGAAGCAAAGCTCGACAGTAAGGAGGGTAAGAAGATAAGTTTACCTTGGCACTGGTAGCCCTGCTTTCCAAAAACACCCCTGGAACAAAAATCATGACCGAAACAAATTAAATTTCAAATCTATGCAAGCAGCGGTAACCTGGGCTCGACCGACTTGCTCACCAGATGAAATCTTTGCAGTGAAAACAGAAGGTGGGCTGGCGAAGAAAAGTGGACATGAACTTGTGCCCGTTGACCTGGTGGACTTTCCGTCTCACGGCCCCCTGACGCTTCCTGCTAAACTCCTTGTGGTTTGCCGGCATCACGATGGCCTCGTCTGTTTAAAAAAAAAAAAAGAAGACAAGCACACAATCAATTGACAAACCAGGAAGGAAGTTCACATCACCGCATGAGGTAACTTTTCATATCCATCTTAGATACAAATGATTTGATACTTACCAAACTAGTCGAGTCACACTAAAACGACCATTGTCTAATTTGCATACGAGCCTGTTGTCAAGTCTGACACAGGAGCATTCTAAGGCAACGACTCCTAACCTGTGCCTCGTCGTCGATTGTCCAATTTCACCCATTTGGTTCCAAAATTATGATTTATTTACTGCAAATAATGCCTTCTTGTTCATCTTCTGTTGACAGCAAAATAGAGCGACAGGTTTTCCACTAGATGGCAGAAGGTATAGTGTAACGTGTCCATCAGTCTGTGTTCGTTCAGACAACAGAATAGCTTTGTGTTCAGTCGAACAGGCCCAGGTGTCAAACCGAGCATGTCAATGAGAGAACATCATTATTTTAGTGCGTATACTTTTTGTGAGATTTATGTTTGGTGGCGTGCCGTGGCAACGAGGTAAAATCCGTGACTTGGCTGAATAAAGGTTGTAAACACTGTCCTATACGGAGCGCAGAGGAGCAGTATACTGAATTGAAATTGATTCCAAATGTGCAGTCTGGATTAGGTTTGCTTTGACATTGAACCATGGGCACCTGCATGCACATACTGTAGCAAATTGTGCTAACGTGTGCATTCTAATTAACCCTTTCAGGGACAGAGTGGACAGGTTATCAGGTTACAGGGTGCATGAAAGGGTTGATTCTCAAAGACTAGCTACCTATTATTTAGAACAGAGTCAAAGAAGAAGTCAAACCAACATTTTCTTGGAGGAGATAACAAGACATGGCATTGCAGTGGCCTCACCATCTATGAAGGATCCATTCAGCTTAATAAGGACGTAAATGCGGCCTTCGGGCTCCAAGTCCTTCTGCAGACAGGGATACAAAACAATTTGCATGGGAAGGCCAATTTAGATATAAACCACAGCACTTTATCTTTGAACTCAGGCGTAATAAGAAATAGAACGCAAGATAACAAATCAAAATCAATGTGTGATGTACTGTACAAGGTATGTTTAACCCTTTCAGGGACAGCGGTTACTACAGTGGACGGCTTACCATGTTATCAGGTTATTACGGGGTGCACGAAAGGCTTAAATATTCATTGGGAAAATAAAAACATATTGTAATAAGTGTGTTCGAAAAGTGTGATGAAGAGACAGTTGAGTCCCTGTATGTGTGGGTAAATGCATACTAGTTCCTGGAAGTATATAATGAGCTAGGAATTTAAAAACCTTGACAGAAACAACAAAGCGGGTCAAGCAGGTTGCGCTGGTTGTGGAGGCCTTTGCCTGCCTCACAAACGCATGACGTGCAAAGGATTAGAACAGAGATTTTCATAATTTCTGCTTTCATCCACCACCACAATAGAGTTTAAAGAAAACTATGAAAATGAGGTTGAAGCCTCGGCTTCAAGCTTTGGACAAACACACAAAATTGGAAGTACAGTCATACGTTTTAAGACTGTGAAAATAAATTGTAGGGAAGCGTCGCCTGACGTGTGGTGCGCACGGGCATCACCCAAGTTGGGAGTTTCCTCCTTGCAGCTCTTTGCTAAGGCATTCATTGCAGCTTCCTTTAGAATTTATGAAATTCAATAATCCTCAAAATCCAAGTCACTGGCCGGATATAAAGCGAACAAAGTTTGCTTTTCAATGAATGAAAAGTAAAATGAAGTCAATAAAAAAAAAAAAAGAAAGAAAAAAAAAAACAAGCAACACATGAAGGCCTGGAAAAGCGTCTATGGTGTCAACTGTCCAAAATACTTCTGGGGCTGCTGAAAATGGAGACATTTTTTTATTTTTCTTCGCTTTAAAAACATTCCCAGGTGTCGTAATGTCTGATCAAGCCCACTTTTCAACCCCGATTTTGGCTGCCCCTCAGCAGTCGAGCCAATCCCAACGCTGGCATGAAGACTAGGCAAGCTATCATTTGTTCTCAAGCAGTCCCGAGTCTGAAAGTAAAAGTGAGTCCCCATAATGACAAACTCAAAGTGTAAATTTCATGTCAGGCAAGTTTTGGAAGTGGGCAGCTCACAAAAGTCGATGTAACCGGTTGTGTAATGTCGCACTTGATTGACAGGCCCTGATCGAGACTCATCTTTGTCATCTAATTTGAAAGAATTTAAAAGTGTTTCATTCACCACGGCCCCTGACTTGTGATCTACAGTATTAGTCTTTGGTGACTTCATATTTGCTTTCAATATCCATCTGTCGTGTCTATCTTTCTGTTTTGTTTTCAGCCCCAGCTGGAGTGAAGGGCGTTTCCCTCCAGCCGTCGTACCATCAAACCTGACATGGATTTCAGGACTGCCAAACTGTTGTCGGATTATTGACCTTCCTCGCTGTTGTGCTTCACATGTTGTATTCTAGACCACTTGATAGATTTCATAGTCGCTCTCGTTTTGTCATTGAGCTTTGTAAGTATTTTCATGACTCCTTTTTACAGATCTTGAGCTTTGGTTTTGCGTTATTACATTTGTGATATTTCATTTGTATATTAGCGGTGATCTCTTGTACCTTGCCTTTGCAAGTGCTTTTTGTTTTATGCATAGTTGTTTTGTTTTTTTTCCTGGCTCCTTGTGGCCAGTAATTTCAGTTTGTACTTTGTCGGTGCACTTTTCTGTAATAAATATTTTCGTTATCACACTTTGTCTGAGCCTGCATTTCTGGAATCCAAAACATTATTCGGTTTGGTTCAGAATCTGACACCAGCAGCCCAACAATATTGGAGAAGTTTTTATGCTATCTAAAGTTGTAGATGTGGGGGGTAGTGTCGTCTAAAGGCTGAATATCTTATAAAGTATCATGAAGGAGGTAGTTTTAGGGCTTTTTTTTTTTTTTTTTAAAGCAGATGGCTGTTTCGGTCGAGCAAGCAGCATTCACCGCAATGAGGTGCGAAGTAGCATTAAGTGGGTGGGAAAAAAGTCAGGTCTAAATGTCATGGTGATAACAACTTGAATATGAGGACATATTTTGCTTTCCTGTCCTAAATAGAAGCGCTTCGTGTTTTGCGTGCAACGTGAACACACCAGTGGGGCATGTGGACTGGCCACATGTGAAAAAGAAAGTTGAAGAGACTCGGCAAAGATGCCAGGAGATGAGAGAGAGACCCTTGCAATATTCCTCTTTATCGTTGCACATGATCATCTTAAATATGTCTGTTCACCTGTGTGGTGGATTAACTTTAATTCTGTAAAGGTCAAAGCTTATGAACCAACACATTTATTTTGCCATTTCTGGATGTGTGTGCAGTGCTTTAACCATTATTGAATGGAAAAAAAAAATTTGTTCTGATCAATTACAGGTATATTGAAGCATCTTAAGCGAAATGGAGTACACTACTTGGCTGCAAGCAGTGGAGGTGCCGTTGATTTGGTCTGAACTAGTTTGATGTCTGAAGAAGACATCAGCTATGTGATATTGAAACACACACCCTGGCACGACTCAAGGAGCATTATTTTGTGCAATATGACACAGAGATGCAAACAGCAGCTCAGTGAGACTAACTACACAAATTTAAAAATTATATATATATATATATATATATATATATATATATATATATATATATATGTATATAACCTTCATCAGACGTTCACGAGAATCTTACAATCTGAAACTCACTTTTGCATCACATATATTGATCATCATATTGAAGCTATTATTTGTTGCATCAAAGAAATGTGCGGATTTATCATTAGGCAAACAAGAATGTCCCGGGGCCCCAAATTTCCAGGGACTCCCAGCATCTTCTAAAAACTGCGAAAAAAAACACCTTTTTCACCAATGATTATTCACCCTTGATTATTCACCGATACCACCAGTACTTTTAAAATATCACATTTTAATTAACATAATGACAAATAATTATGAACAAATGTTTAATTCTTTGTTGTACACGATGATCTGCCCACGTTTCTAACTGCTGCAGTATAGCAACGACTGCTGGCGAGGAGGACTTACTGAATGTCAGATTTATGCAGCCTTTAAGTATCAGTGGCTGGTGTTGGCAGCCTTCATAAGGACCCGATGCCTTGAATCAGCCCAATACTGATACCCGATATCGGTAATTGCCCATCCCTCGTAATCATAATTGTTTTGGTCTTAATTTCCACAGTTAAAAAAAAAAAAAAAAAAAAACATAAAAATGGCTAACTTATGATTCTCTTGAGTGCCCCGCTTTCAATTGTGCGAGTATAGACTTGACTGAGGAAGAAGGTGGCAATTAGCAAAACAAAATTGCTGGTGTGTTGTGAGGAAATGAGGAAAATGAAGCGGATCTATTCTAGGGAAGCAGAGAGGAAGAAAAGGCAGAAAACAAACAGATTTTTTTATCAAAATTACCAAAAGTTGCAACTTTTTTTTCATATTGACACAGAATGTGCGTAGCTGCAGAGCTGTAGTCAAGTCAAGTTCGAGTCATCAAGCTCCAAATCAAAGTCAGGTCCGAGTCTCAAGGTCCGAGTCCAAGTCCAAGTCCAGATGAGATCAAGAATTTAGCTGAAGACAGAAAAATACTATTTTCCTGACCACAAAATTTGAGAAATTTCATTGAGTTCAACACTCTTGTCAAATGTCATGGAACCCTTTGCTTTATTAATCAACAACAAAAGGTCAAAAACTATGTTACTTTTGTGGTCGACCTCAGGGTAGAGACGAGGAGGAGATTGGGGTGTAGCAAACTGCACCAAGCAGTGAGAGGAGACTACAAAACAGAGACAAACACTCAGCTAAAGAATGACCATGAATGCGTCGCCGTGTCAGGGTTTGCTGTGTCCGACTCCCTTGCGGTCAGGTTAACTAATCAGGTACCTATTTTGATTATCTGAACTTTTGACTTTCATTTGAAAGAGGGCGTTAATTTTCAGAAATCAAAAACACAGTTGGACTTGGTCGAGTCGCTAAAAATATTTGGTGAGTCCAGGACAGATTTTATGCATCTGGGCTGGCGCTGAAACGTGTTAACTGCTCAAAGAGAGAACACACACACTTCTCACTTCCCCCCCCCACCAGCGGTGGGTGTGTTTCAAAGTGACATTTACAAGATGTGTTTGTGGTTTCTGAGTTGATGATGAAGAAGGGTGGGATCAGTGCCGACACAGTCGTATCTGAGTTTACCAGAAATGGCATTTATTGCGACACAGTACATCAATACGTCAGTCTTATAGCTTCAATTCATTACACAAAACATTGTTAAGAAGTCGATGCTGATGTATGTACCTTAAAAAAAACATGACTAATGACCAACAAGGAAATGACCAGAGAAGCTTATATTAAAAAAATATAAAAATCCCTCTTCATAACAGGTCCGTCGGGTGCGGCTAACTTCTCTTTACTTAGGTATGAGTCAACAATGTCAAACCCTCATTCAATATTTTTTTTGGATATTTTTTTTTAACTTTTACTCTACCCTGAGGACAAAAACCATGTTTTTTTTCTGTTTAATCATTTGAAGAACTTCAGGTTCAGAATTACTCTTATGCAAAACTACCCGACGTTGCATACTTTTTAGGATTTTTAAATTCCAATTTTATTACTTGAATTATTTCGTTTTTTTACCCCCCCCCCACACACACAAAAACCACAAGATTTCCATTTCATAAATAGTAGGGTTAGAAGGGGGCTGTAGTGGTGATGAAAGATGAAATCAATGTTGCTGTTAGTCTTTGACATATACTGTACAAACCTCTATTAACAATCAAAACATCATCCCTCTATTTTCTTTTATATGGGAAATATATCTTTTCTGCTGAGTTTTCTTGTCATAAAAAAATGTTCAAAAAATTAATCAGCAATTTAAAGGATTGAAATCCTGAAAATTAATATTTTATCATTTTGTTGAGGCTGAAGTTGATCAAGGCAGTGGTCCTTTTTTTCCAACAATGTAGTCCCATTTTTTTAGAGAATAAAATTTTACCCAATGTAAAAAAAAACATACGAGTTGTATTTTTGATATAAACAAAATGCATCATTCTTCTTGTTAAGATAAGAACTACAACTTATTTTTGTCAGTTTTTTTTGTCTGTTATCATAACCAAGTTGCTGATTAAAGGCTGCATTCAGAAATGGTAGCGGAATCCCCTCTGCTTTCGACGAAATGTTCGCTTAATAACTAGGTACAAGTTATTCTTGTTCGTCGAAAATGAATTAACTTTTAATTTCGTTTCCCATCTTTATTTAACCAGGAAATATCCCATTGAGATTAAAAACCTCTTTTTCAATGGAGTCCTGGCGAAGAGGTAGCAACATAAATGAACATAAAATACAATTACCATACAATACAATTGCCGTGACCACTGAAGAAAAAGCAACTTCTGCCGGAAGTACCAAAGTAGTCATGGCAACTTGCTTTTATTTTCTACAAGGATGAATCCACCAAGATTGCACCTTTGGCTAACATGCAATGCAGTATTCTGGTCAAGGTAAAACATTTTTATATAAAAAGGAAAACGAACATAGTAATCAGATGTTTCATCATCCTCATGTGCTGTCAGCACCATTTTCTGAATGTAACTGGCATCCAATTTCCCAAATTCTTTGTGTGTTGTACTCAGGTTAAAATGGCCATTTCTACCAGACTGAGCATTTTGAAGGACTGAGATTTTGGGGAAACGTTGTAAAGTTGCTTTGAAAAGTTTAGTTTGTCTATAAATGTCATAAGATGGTGACAAAGCACTTTTTGTCAAATAAACTATCCAAAATAGTTCCTTAGTACCAGGATGCCAAAACATGACAGCAAAGCACTACTTGTGTCTTTAAGAACCTCCTCGACTCACTTTAACATAGATCCTTGGCACCACGATAACACAGGACACCACAAAAGCAATATTTTTGCTGCTGTGGAGTGAGCACAAGAACAGTAACTAGCTAAGTTTTTCACCCCACAACGGACGAACTGTTTTTAAAAAAAGAAACTGTGAATATACAAATTCGTTAATACGAACCACGAATACATTGACGAGAGGACAATGGTTAACACAAGGATGGCAGGAAGAACGCTTCATTGGCGCGACGCTTACTCTTCATTTTATCTGAAAACAATTCGTGAATAATAATGAATTTGCAGCAGGTGATGGAGCCACAAATGACCTCAGATCCAAATGAGGATTTTCCGGCCTTGGTGGAGCGCTGTCATTGTAGTTGGCCCCCTGTTGTGACCCCCTTTTGCGTTTACTCACCCATCCCTCGTCGAACGTGTCAGTGTTGGCGGTAGTGATGAGGTCCACAAAGCGGATGGTGCAATTCGCCACAAAGTCGTCGTATCCGATGGGGGTTTCGTGGAAAACAGCCAGCTCGACGTGTTGTCCGTCTTGCACGGAGAAGGAAAATTCCTCATTGTAGGTCGGAGAGTTGGTTTTCTGTTTGGTGTGAGTTTGACCCACTTTGACATCGTCCACTTTAAGGACAATGTACGGGTCCATGTTCGTCGAGGCGTTCTTCATGAAAATCTTGGAGTGGCGCCGGGAGAAAGTGGTCGGTTTCAGGTCCACCGCTTCCCCGATTCGGAGCTGGATACGGCCGTAAAACTTCATTGCCTGCCACTAGAGAGGTTGAATATCAAAAGGGAAAGAACGAAGCCAACAGGAGGTCTTAAAGGAGGGCTCGAGACGAACGAGAGGACACTGCCGATGCGTCCATGCTGAGTGCACTTGTTGTAGTTCTGCTTGTTTGAACACTTGACATCCGCCTTCCTCTGCTTTGAATCTCGAGTGGGCTGACTCAACAAAGGAAGCCACAACAAACACACGCCGATCGAGACTTACAAGTTCCGCATAACTCTGGAAAAAAAAAAACACCTGTCAGGGCTGTGGAGGACTGCGTCCTAGTCACGTGGGTCTATGGGGCGATAGGTGTGACGAAAAGACTACAATATCCGAGTGCATCATTTTGAGCTGCCATCCCTTTTACCTATCTCCAAAGTCCTACAGCGCCATCTCGCGGGCACCCTAGTCAATGAATGATTTGACGTTCGTTTTTCTTGTGTTTTTTGTGTAGTGTTGATTACCTCCACCTCCATGCTTGAATCATGTTATCTTTGAGAATTTCTCCATTGTGAGACAAATAAAGGTGTTCTTATCTGATCAATAACTGTACATTCATACATGCAGTATGAAGAAGGTGAGCATCTTTGAAAGTGTACAGTTTGGTGTTGAGCCAAATTCGAATATTCGGTCTCGGTTTATCAGCTCCTGAAAATTGCAGCAAACATTCAACAATTTTACAAGGAAATAATTATAAAACAGCAAATTCATTAAAAACGAATTAAAAAAAAACACCTAATGGAGTTTGATATTGTTGTGTTTATTTTGAGGTATTTTAGTTTTAGCTTTTCTTTATTTAGGAGAAAATGGCTGATTGTTTAAATGGCTGTTGGCTGCTCAAAGTTCCCCAGACTAAGTCTGAATTTGATGAAACCGCTTTCACTTCCTCATGTACTTTACAACAGAAACTCAAACTCAACACAATGGTCACAGGTACCATTATTTATCTATTTTTATCAAGAACTGCTTTTGAATGTAACCATTTTTAAACATTTAGTTTTTTCTTACTATGTTGTGTCAACATCCTTAAAAATTAGCTCTCGAGATTCAAAAAGGGTTTCAACCAAAGTGGAATTTCCTGGGGAAACCTCCTCTCATACTTCCTTTCACATGCAATATTTTCATTTACATGCTTCCTCCTGTTGGTTCCACGATCAAAGGCTCCTTTCTGTTGGCATTACGCTTGAACTCTGACCCCACTCAGCTAAATGTTGGAAGAAGAGTACCATGTCTCTTTCACTACAGCAGCTGTTCTAAATAAAAGGCTGTGGTGGCACGGTGCACACATCTCTGGTATGACCTTTTTATTAAAAAAAAAAAAAAAAAAACGTCACAGAGCAGAAAGGCTCGTAATGTTGAATCAGGCTGATTACAGGATGTCTTGACCAAAAGAGGAACCATGCTTCACACTTTCTTTCCAGTACAGTGCACAGAGTTCCCACATGGAATATATTAGGTAAGGGACAAGAAGTGGAACTGCCTCGGAATCTAGCTTCTCGTTTACTTCATAAACAAATATAATGCAGCTCAGTATCTGGCTAGCGGACATGACTATTACAACAGCACAAAACGACAAACATGACTATTACAACAGCACAAAAGGAAACTAGGTGGGTGTTTATATGGCAGAAAAAATACCAAGCAGTAAGATGGAAGAAACTTGAACCAATGAACACTTAAGGAAGTTATCCAAGGTTGTCCTTGGCATTACATAAAGGGGAAGTCAAGCGAAAAATGTTCCTTACAATTTAATTTTCTATTCGCCCCTAAAAGTCAAAACACGTTATTCTTATTAATTTTGCGTTTGTGTAATATGAATTAAGCAGAAAAATCCATCTGTTTTTTTATCCACCTCAGGGGGGGCTGCCATTTTACTTTGTACTGCCATTTGCTGTTGACTGAAAAGATGTATTTTTTCCCACCATTTGTTTCTTTAATTCCAAGCTACTCACGCTAGTACCGCCACAGCTGTGCAGTGTTCAATGATTTAATTTCCATAATTGACCAGCAGGGGGCAGAAGATGCCCATTGAATAGAGTGCCTCAGCTTTGATGATAGTGCAACTTTCTGTATTCTCTCTCTCTCTCTCTCTCTCTCTCTCTCTCTCTCTCTCTCTCTCTCTCTCTCTCTCTCTCTCTCTCTCTCTGAGCCACAGCTGACATTTTTACAGTCCACCTTGATTTATTTTGTCTTTGTTGTGCAGACATTCCGCTTTTTTCCTCCTCCCTCCGTTTGTCAAAGTCCCCCGCTTTTGCCCTGCCTCACACTCGCCTCTTCCCAGCCTCGCTTTCGCTCGCCGTCCGACCATGTCAAATGTTGAATTATGCACCCATGGGAGCGCTCCGTCTGACTCGAGACATCCGACTGGGTACATGGACGCATGGCTTTTATGAGCGCATAGGATTCCGGCTGTATTTTCTCGTCGTGCAAACATACAAAACAGTCACAAAAACTTCCAATTTATGACTTAATTTGAGCCGCATACCATTTAATGTGTTTGTAATTCAGAACAGCTCACTGTTCTGGTTTGATGGCCAAGCACATCCTATCCCTGCAAATAATCAACGCCAAACAGAACTGTTTAGATCAGTGGTTCTTGGCCTTTTGGGTGATTCGTTTGAATAATATATTTTAAATTATTTTATTATTTACAATTATTTAATTACAGACGTAAATACATGTTAAAGTTTTTAATATTATTTAATTGTTTATTTGCTGACATTTTTGTCATATAACAATCAAAATATGATCACAAATTCATCATAAGTTCTTTTCACGTCTTTTCCTTAAAAAATTGGATCCCAGTTATTTAGACATGTATATTTTTTTAACTTGACTTTTAAGAGGAGCTGCTAAATTGTTAAGTCATTCTTGCCGGTCTGCGACTCGGGTGGTAGATAGTTTCCCACAATCAAGACCAAACAAAATCTTTAGAATAAATTCAAAAGTGTTGGTCATACCTTTTTGGATAATGGGGGTGGAGTGCATAAATCAACCCAAATATCACAAGGAAGGTATCTTCGAGTCTGGGTAGGCTGACCACGGCATCACCTTCAATCATGACTCGTAGTAGATTCGTAGTAGTGATTTGGACTTCTTTCGTGGTGTCATCGACAACAGTCAAGGAGGCTCACGGAATAGATCAACCTCTGGCCGATAAGAGTTGTCCTATGAATTAAAAAAATATACATATATAAAACGGACATACTGTATCATGTTGTACATAGAGTATTTCTTCCCTTTCTCTCGTGGCTTCCAGTTCTGACATTAACTGCTTTCCTTTTTCCAGACATTACATTTTAGCTGTAAAAGAGCCTAGAATACAACAAATGTGAAAGGACTCTAAATGCTCACTGGGGTCAGATTAAAAAAATTGAGCGGACATTACGTGGCACGCAAGCCAAATATTGCCCACCCTTGGGCAAGACTGGATGGAAACCTGAAAGCCAAAACACTGAAACAAGTAGAAAGCCTCATAAATCACGAGTGACCTGTATAGCGTACTAGGAACAAGAAAGGGAACATCAAACAGAGATCAGGGGAAAATGTGCACTTTAGATCAATGCAGATGCAGGATGTACTTTACTGGATTGGTTGGGGGGAAAAAAAAAATCCGGCTGTATTTTCTCGTCGTGCAAACATACAAAACAGTCACAAAAACTTCCAATTTATGACTTAATTTGAGCCGCATACCATTTAATGTGTTTGTAATTCAGAACAGCTCACTGTTCTGGTTTGATGGCCAAGCACATCCTATCCCTGCAAATAATCAACGCCAAACAGAACTGTTTAGATCAGTGGTTCTTGGCCTTTTGGGTGATTCGTTTGAATAATATATTTTAAATTATTTTATTATTTACAATTATTTAATTACAGACGTAAATACATGTTAAAGTTTTTAATATTATTTAATTGTTTATTTGCTGACATTTTTGTCATATAACAATCAAAATATGATCACAAATTCATCATAAGTTCTTTTCACGTCTTTTCCTTAAAAAATTGGATCCCAGTTATTTAGACATGTATATTTTTTTAACTTGACTTTTAAGAGGAGCTGCTAAATTGTTAAGTCATTCTTGCCGGTCTGCGACTCGGGTGGTAGATAGTTTCCCACAATCAAGACCAAACAAAATCTTTAGAATAAATTCAAAAGTGTTGGTCATACCTTTTTGGATAATGGGGGTGGAGTGCATAAATCAACCCAAATATCACAAGGAAGGTATCTTCGAGTCTGGGTAGGCTGACCACGGCATCACCTTCAATCATGACTCGTAGTAGATTCGTAGTAGTGATTTGGACTTCTTTCGTGGTGTCATCGACAACAGTCAAGGAGGCTCACGGAATAGATCAACCTCTGGCCGATAAGAGTTGTCCTATGAATTAAAAAAATATACATATATAAAACGGACATACTGTATCATGTTGTACATAGAGTATTTCTTCCCTTTCTCTCGTGGCTTCCAGTTCTGACATTAACTGCTTTCCTTTTTCCAGACATTACATTTTAGCTGTAAAAGAGCCTAGAATACAACAAATGTGAAAGGACTCTAAATGCTCACTGGGGTCAGATTAAAAAAATTGAGCGGACATTACGTGGCACGCAAGCCAAATATTGCCCACCCTTGGGCAAGACTGGATGGAAACCTGAAAGCCAAAACACTGAAACAAGTAGAAAGCCTCATAAATCACGAGTGACCTGTATAGCGTACTAGGAACAAGAAAGGGAACATCAAACAGAGATCAGGGGAAAATGTGCACTTTAGATCAATGCAGATGCAGGATGTACTTTACTGGATTGGTTGGGGGGAAAAAAAAAATCAAGAGGTGGAGGAGTTCTGTGGACAATGCAGCAGAGGGTGGGAGGTGGCGGGATAGCAGAGGGTGGTAGTGGTGTTGGGGTCTCTGTCACAGCCCTTCTGGGTAATTGGCTCCAGATGTGAGGCCGGCAGCGTGGCCCCAGCGCCAGGGAGGCGTCAGGGCCGCATTAAGAGCTCAGCCCACAAGTGATGGGATCATGGAGAGGCGAGCTGGCCCTCAGCTCGCCACCCCTGACCAAACCCCATAATGGGCTGTTGACCAGTGAGCCTAGCCCCTCTCAACCTGCCCCCCACCTCAAAAAAGACACTTCCTGAAACATCGCAAGGTTCTTTATTTACTTAAGACTTATCTCACCTTTCCATTTCACCTTTGACCTTGATTTTCATCTTGATGCTATAAAAATCCCATCTTTCCTGTCGTTCTTGCAGTCTTGTCTGCTTGCCTTTCACTCCACATGCAGTATTTGAGACACTGAGAAAAAAAACGAGAAGAAAAATAAAATAGCGAGTAGTGTTAATAAGTTACGTTATTTCTGCCAAATTCAAACTGCAGGACACTCCTGGATCCATTTTTAATGTAAGCTTTTAAAATTTGTTACGTTTTTGAGAAAAGTGCTCAAACTGGTGACTTGTGAGGCCTAAATATAATACAGACTAAGAAACAAAGCAATTTAGAGAAACATCCCACGCTGATGTTGAGAAGTGGGAGCGTAACGGCTCGCTCGCGCAGCAGACGTGGGATCGATGCCTCATTCACGATCGCCTTGGCGCAAATTGGCGATCGGTCTGGGGTGAAATTCCCCCTTTGACCCAATATCAGCTGCTGTTCCAGATCTGAATTCCAAAGAAATAAACGAATCGTGAACTGTTAATCATCAGAACAAATCGTACTAATCCCCAGATACCTCGCATGGAATCCCTCTCGTGGTCGTGAGCAGGAAATGAGACAATCTGATTGGATGCTTTGCATGCGCTATGCTCCTCTGAAGATGCATTGAACCAGAAAAGCTGTGCTACACAGTACATACACACACATTTGATGGTTCAAAAAGCTGTGCTACACAGCGCACACACACATTCGATGGTCCCTTCTTGTTGAACTGATGTTTTTTTTGAAACACAAATAGGAAGGCCCGTATGCATCTTTCCAGTCTGTTTCACTGCAAGGTCGAAGTCAGGACATTGGGACCGCAAACGCGCAGTGAAGCAGAAATTCCTGATTTTTAATAACATGGCTCATTATTTAAAAAAAACACAGCCAACACCTCTTAGATCAATATGAGAGCGGAGGCTGTCCGCAGCGGGGTGGATCTGAACCCCCGCCGCCATCCCTGCAACTCATTCTATCCCTTCGACAACCCCGGAGATGGTGTTGTAATATCACTGGACGCTGGAGTGAGTTTAAGTCAACAAAAAGAGTTCCACATGCGTTTTGCGTCATAAGGCCTCCATTAAAACATTATCTCTGGTGATAAAAGCATTTTTTTTTTTTTGTATGGCCTAATCTCTTCCCAAAGTTAAGTGATGCAAGGAATGCATGTGAAGAGATTGCGGTCATTCACTTGGTGGCAATGTTGTACTGGTCAGTTTCGAACATGCCAACAGGAGCTCATCCATTCACTAAAGGAAAAATAAAATTTTAAAAATCTGGAAAAATATCGAGAGGTGCAGAGGCAGAAATGTAACTTATGAAACCTTTGTGCAGTTTTCACGACACACTTTTTGTGGACAGTATTCCCTATTTTGGAATCGAAGTGAAACGCCTGATAGGGCAAGATTTACATACAACATCAGAACTAGAAGACATGACAAAGAATCTATTCATTCTTCTATTTTTTTAGACCACTTATACACACACTAGGGTCGTGGCTAAACTGGAACCTAGTAGGTAATACGTTTAGGATTTTTTTTTTTTTTAGAATGCATGGTGGACCAGATCACATGTGCTGAGCGCTTTAGTAGCAATGTGTTTGTTGTGTCCACTACCGCATGTGATGGGTCAAATTTCATGAGTATATTTGTACATAACAAATAAAGATCATTTGTTGTCTTCTTCACTTCTGCCAAATAATCACAAGGACTACCTTCATAGGCGTGTCCTTGTGAGGAAGGTTGGTGGGAGACATTTCCTCCTCTGGGGAACCTCCTTGAGGGTGGTATGAAGAGCAAGCCGGGGATACTCTCTGCCATAATTCCTCCCATCAAAAGCAGAAGAGTCCGCTCAAATCCAAACAGCGTCCCAATTAGAAAGTGCAGAGCATGTGGCGTTGATTAAAGCAACAATTTCACACTGAGATGCGGGCCTTGGCATCCAAACTGCACCTGCCAATCAAACATGCTTGACCGGCAAGTTACACAATTCTGCGAGTGATATGTAACAATGAGACATACTGGAACACAGAATATTTCCCTTTTATTGAGTGTATTTCATTGATGTACAGTACAATCAAGAGGATTTCAACTGATGACAAGCACCAAGTAGCAGCAAATATACTATAAACAGTTTTGAATGTAAGTGAACAAAAAGATTTTTTAAAAAAAAAACATTTTAGTGAATACAGTTTGTTGTGAAATCCTAAAATTGCAATTGTGACAGACAAATATGTGCAATAACTTGATAAGCAGTTATATTCCACCAAAGGCATTTCTTGGGGGGGGGGGGAAGACTATTTGAAAAGGTTTAAGAGTTTCTATGATAAAAAGCTAGACTGTAAACAAGAATCTCAAATCATTGTGAGGTTCATGGGAAACAAAAAGAAACAATCAGCCAGCCTAAAATTGTGTTCAAGTCTTGAAATGTTGTTGTGATGTCTGGGCAGGACAATGGCATGATGACAACAACTTTCCAAAAAAAAAAAAAAAATACACAGCCTGAATGACATAGACGTATGTGTCTATTCTCCTTGATTTCATCCGATAAGGTTCTTTGGTAAAATCGTCCGTTTTTGCCTTTGTGCTTTGAAAAAGAGGTATGGAGGAGGGGTGAGGACTAAGAACTGTGTGTCCATGTGAAGATGATGATTGAGAAGCTGGTGACGCCCATGATTAAACCAAAGACAACCAGACACACCGCCTACAAACACAATGTTTGCATTAAAGCCTTTTTTTTTTTTTTTTTTTTTTTTTTAATGGAGCGAAGTGCTTTAAAATGGTTTCACATCTGTCTGAAGAAAGCAGACTTACCCCGATTGAGTCGAAGGATTTGAGAGGCTGGCGAGCAATCCTGAGGTAGAAGAGGCCAGGGAAGACAAACAAGAGGCAGCTGGATGTGGTCGATCCTGGCAAACAAAGATCATTTCTTTGAGGGTAACTGCCGCTTCATTATATGGTTGACTGCGCCATAAAAGATATTGTGAGCAGACGTTACAACTACAGTGTGCTGCGTTCCAAATTATTTTTCCTAAGGAGTCAATGCAAAAGGCTGTCAGCATAATTTGTCAGCCGTGAGAGAATAAATTAAAATGTTTTTGAACAAAAAGGCTAATGACAACTTTTTAAAAAAATCAATCACTGTTCCAAAAAAATGACACATAACAGACTTCAGAACATTTTACACATTGTAAAGAACTGAAAATTGCCATTTGTTGAATTTGCAGCATTGGGAGGTCATATCTACGGAAATCAATGTCTATCTCAATTAAAAACAGTGGACAGCCTATCGTGTTATCAGGTTACAGGTTACCATAATTGGAGCATGAAAGGGTTCATCTAAAAGTAATTCTACTTGTTTGAAACATTGAAACAATGATGAAAGTTAAACAAGTAAGGACAAAAAAATGTTAGTCATTTGCAACTGTTGCTTTTTTAATTCCTTTCAAACGCAGCATGCTATAGTTTTGTGCTGCAGTCTCAACATGGTGGAAGCACATCTCTGATGTGAAGTGGGCACTTTGAGACCGCGCCGCACCCGTTGTGCCTTTTGCTGACTGAGATGATGCCTGATGTCTGTTTGAACTTGAATATATATATATATATATATATATATATATATTTTTTTTTTTTTTTACATATTTATCCAAAAGAAAGGAATGATTTTATTCGAAACCGTTTTTACCTGAGAACTACATCATGTACGATCACTCAAATGTAACAAAAGAGGAGTACCACGACATACCCACGACTCCAAATACATTCCGAATATCAGGTACAAAGATGGCCAGCATGACCACCAGTCCCAGGATGACCACAGTGACTATGATGTGGGTCGGCCAGGAAAACGGACTATTTCCACGCAGCAGTAAGGTCACGGCCTTACGAGCCTTGAAAAACACCAAACACATATTTTGTTAATTGAGACACCACAAATTACACTCACTTGTAGTACAATCAAAAATCCTGTTTTAAAAGTTGAAAAACTTCATTGGAGTCAGGGTTGAGATTCATGTTGATGTCCACAGTCTACCCAACTTCGTTTCGAATACAAAGAGCTCCAACGGGGATAAGTATTGGTAACGAGATGTTTTGCCTTCAGGAAAAAAATAATCGCTCTTTAATGGACGTATTTATATGAAAGTAAAAGTATTGTGGTTGGAATTTAAAGTGGTATATTATGCACTGCGTACTACGGAATGCAATTTCTGTAGCAATTGCGTGTGAATTTTGAAAAGTTCATGCTTGAAAAGTTGATGTTGACCTGAAACGCTGTGGAATGAATGAATTGTTGAAATGCAGAATATGAGACTGGAAGTTGAAATGGTTTGAATCGGTAAGATACGTGGAAGAATGGATAGGGCTGAGCGATATGGCTTAAAATTCACATTATCCATTCATTCGTTTCTACTGCTGATCCGGGGTTGGGTCATAAGGGCAGCGGCTTTAGCAAGGAAGCCCAGACTTCCCTCTCCCTAGCCACTTCTTCCAACTCTTCCGGGGGGAAGCCAAGACAGCCAGCTGGGAGACAGTCTCTCCAGTGCATCCTGGGTCGTCCCTGGGGTCCTCCTGCTGATGGGGCATATCGGGACCCCCACACCAGGGAGGCAGCCGCACCAGGTGCCCGAGCCACCTCATCTGGCTTATCTCAACATTATATTGCTTTATAATTTAGATCAATAGAACTGCTTATGAATGGTTATCATGTGTCCGTAGAAGCGATATTCTAGCAGGAAGTAGTTTTCACGATACACACAAACTCGTCAAGAATTCCGCTCTTTGTGAATCGGCGTGGAAGGAGAAGGTAAAGAGTAAAACACTGTATCTCTTAATTTAGGTGTTCTGTTGGGAATAAGATGAACATTGAAGTTGAATTGGTTTGAACACAGAAAAAAGTAGGAGAAGCAAATATGTAAAACCTCATAAATTAAGATTTTTACTGTAACTTGACTTTGGAGAACGCAGTAAGTACCGGTAGTTTGATGTCCTGAATGAAGTACACATTTTCCAGATCGGACATTTTAAAAGCGGTCAAGAAATGTAGATGGAGGAGGTCTACACTGGTTTAAAAATTCTGTCACAGAAATTCTCTCCCAAGAGGTTCTGAATAAGATGAGCATATTGAAGCCAGAATGATTTGAATTGCTTAGGTAAGTTGTGAAATATGGAAGAATTAGTTAATTTTAGAAAATATCTCCTTTCATTTCAGTCGCAATTATCTTCATGGAAAGTGTGGAATTGTGGATCAAGTAGGAATGCGGGTCATAAGGATAGTTCACAAGATGTACTGAATGAGATGACTACAGTATTCTGAAATCGGAATGGCTTGAATTGGTGGAGAAATGTGTGGAGGGAATAGCAAAATATGTTAAACATATTTTTTGGGGGTGTAGAAGAGCATACAGTATGTGTAAGAGCTGTTACATAATTAGTCTCTCTAGTCTGCGTGTTACTGTCAGTGCAGGTGTCGGTACGACAACAAAACAATTCAGCACTTGCTACTCACAGGGAAGTGGATGAGCGGTATGGTCAACAGCACAGAGATGAGGATGGCGAGCCGAACAGTCATCACCATGATGTCCCGCGGTATGTACACATCGTAACTGAGCAAAAGCTCAGAGTCCACATGAGCTGTGGGTTGACAACAGATGGGAGTATCGCACAGGCGGCTTTGGTGGAGTGGCTCGAGGTCAAAACTGTGTGCTGCGGTCTACCGTAAAAGGTGAGGTAGCCAAAGAGGGCAGAAACCAAGTAAAGCAAGAAACTGAGGCTGATCCCAACATTGGTAACATTCTGCATCCTTGCTTTGGTCGGCCTGAAGAAGCAAAGAAGAAGACACAAGGAGGCAGGCGGTGAAGAACAATGAGGGGGTCGGATTGGGACACTGAGTACAGTTATTTTTAAAAATTCCTTACAAGGATGCATTTAGCAATTTTCTACACCTGCTATGCAATCATTACATAAACCCCAAACAATTTCTCGTGCAGACAATTTCAAGTATTTGAAGATTTTTTTTGACACCCATGTTTTTGCATGGACATGGCATTATTCAGTCAAACAATTGCGTAGCTGACCGGTCCAGTTCGCAGTAGATTGGCAGGACGGCTGTGTGGCACAGGAAAGAGAAGGCCATGGTGGGGATGGCGTAGGCACTCTGAAACAGACATCATCAGTATGGCATTTAGCAAATTATCCACTCACACTTTTACACAGGTGTGAGGGGCCGGTGGGTCAAGGTATGCTGATTGTTGACTCAGCAGTCCAGACTAAAGTGTAACCACAGAAAGAAAACGAAAAGGAGGAAAACCGCTTTATGTAAATAAATTTACCCGTGATTTATCGGGGCTGTATTTTCTTTAAAGTTATTAGCATTACAGCTGAAAGCATGCACTTTATGAGCTTTCGGCATGCACACATGAGTCGCACACAGGCCATCCCTCAATGGTGAAAGTGCGACATGTCATCAGAGCTTACAAATTGCAGCAGACACTTTTAACGAGTTCTCACAGCCGTCTCTTGTTGTTTGAGTGTGTGTGCGTGTGCGTGTGAGAGCAGGGAGGACTAACTTCATGTACGTACCCTACTGGAGACAATGAAAAGTTTGGGCGTGCATTCTGTGTCCGAGGCATTTGATACCTGCACAAACGGACACAAGAGGGAGTCTGTTATCCCTGAGAAGAAATGACAGAAGACAAACACAATGGAAGATTGCTGGCCATTCATGAAAATATGAGGTGTGACAGCTCCACAGCTCCATCACCACGGCCATCAAAAAGGGTCCCCTTGATGACAGGAAAGCTTAGGAAAGAAAAAAAAATCACAAGGAAACCAGGTCTTGAGCATGGAGAGGTTTCTCCACCAGGAACTGTCAGATGCTCAGTGCCTTGTGAGTAAGTGCTTTGTCATGTCATGTCACCTCTCACCTCGTCTCGTGCATTGAACCTAGCAAACGCCATAGGACTTTTTCGTAGACGTGCTGGTGGGGTTAACTTGGTGTGTGTTTGAAATATGAAATATAGCAGTGTATTGCATAAAACATAATGAAAGAGAATGTGAAAAAAATGAACTGGTTTCAAAACAACTTAAATACATGTGTTGTATGTGTGCCTTTAAGGGGTGAGGCGTAGTCAATGACATCACGAGATCAGTTAGGTTGAACCAAATTGGCGTTAGAGTAAGTTTTTTCCGACCACAGCACATTGCGCGTGTTCTCATTTTGTATATATGCACTTCTAAGTTGGGTTGAACCAAATTGGCGTGAGAGTGAGTTTTTTTCCGACCGCAGCGCGTTGCGCGTGTTCTCATTTTGTATATATGCACTTCTACTGGGTGAAGTGGTGAATATTTCTTTTTGCCATACATTAAGTTCCTTTATACTTGTATGATAGTAAATAAGGTTCGCATAGTGCATACAAAGCTAATGCAGGTTTGATGATCGTGACAGTTTTGATCTGGAAGAAATGCACTTGAAATGATTTCCACTGGGAAAATATTGTGGTCAACTTTGGAGGCTGCACTGTATTGGCACTGCTGCGAAATAGCAGAATTCCACTGCTTGGCGCATTGAGGGCTGAAAAGAAAACATGTCTCTAAGTTAATCCACAACAGGTCTGGAGTTCTAATATGGTTTGTATAATAAAAGAGGGCAAAGGTCACTTCCAGGCTGAGGGAGTGAGGAGGTGGGGTCACCTGAACTTCCTTCCCCTAAGGTAGCAGTCGCTCCACTTGGCCTTCTCTGGTCCTTATCAAGCAGAGACCCCCACTTCTAGTCTAGACCACCGCTGTCACATAAGATCGGCATCTTATGTACTTAAGGAACGTGTTATTACCTGGTAACTACCAATGAAGAAGGTGATGTTATGTGGCAGCGGGCAGGGGATAGACCATTTCTTGACCACAACCTGATGGCGGAAAAACGGCAACAGGTCAAAAATACACACGGAAATAAAAACGGAGTGAAAATGACAATTTACCACAATGGCAAAGTAGAACATGAAAAAGAAGGCGAGGCTGCTGGTGTAGCCCAGGAAGCCTGAAAGGAAAACCATATTGTATGTGACCGAGAAGCCTTTTAAAGAAGCCATTTGACATGTTTCCTCACCAATTTTTGGCAATATTGCAAGTGGGAGCACCACGCATAGCGTAACAAGGATCAGCAGCAGTCTGCCGTCTTCATACCAGGCATCCCTGGAAAACAAGGAAGACACATTTAGTAAATATAACACAACTCTTAAAGCACTCTATATTACCAGACAACTGAAGACTACACAAAAACGCAATGTGAATTCATTTAATTGTGACTGTCTTGTGTGGCTATATACTCATACCCTTTCAAATGTTCACTTTCATATTGAGGACATTTTCCAAAATCATTTAGATACATCTGTACACAAAACACCCCATATTAACAACAACAACAACAAAAAAGACTTGTAGAAACTTCTGTATATTTATTAAAAAAGATAAACTGAAACGGTTACCCTTTTGGACCAATTTAAACTCGAAATGTTTTTGACCAGCTGCTAGCTAGCGCTAAGCTAACCTGGTTGTCTTACTTGGCTACAAGTATTTAGACCCTTTGGTCAGTATTGAACAGTATTGAAGACCACTCCTATGTTTCTAGAATTTATTGTGTTCTTCTGAATACTTTATCTTCCTTTAACAATAACAATAACAATAACAATAAATCACAGTGACATTCCCACTGTTACTTTTAGGAGTCCAAAACACGGTTACCCTTTTGGACCAATTTAAACTCCAAATGTTTTAGACCAGCTGCTAGCTAGCGCTAAGCTAACCTGGTTGTTTTCATCTCCGGACTGGCGCGCCACGTTTGCTAACTCCTTCGCTAGGACGCCGTTCGAAGGCTTCAGCAAGCAAACAAAGGCGTTGATACTGCTAGCTGGGCTTTATTAACTGAGTGCTTAACAAATTAATTTAAAGCTCATTTTAATGCGGCGCGACAAGCACTGCCCACATCCATGCAACCTCCTTTTTGTTCTCATTAGTTTGTTGCTATGTCACCGCTTGGCCGGATTCTTTCTGCAACGCTACAATACGTCACACGTACTCAGATGTGAGTGTTGCCACCCAATTCCTCTGTGACAAGACACGCAACAACAATATGCTCAGACCCGTTCTGACTTGAATCTGAAAATTGTGATTCGGTGTTAGTTTTTAACGTCCGATATGTTTCACTATTCGATTGACCACAACCCTAGCTCTGTTACATCTATGGCACACTCCAGGCAGCATTATTCTGCTCAGCAAGCATCGAAACAAGACTTCAGAACATTCTGAGTGAGTCCCATCAAAGTTCAAATAATATTTAACAGAAAACTAAGTAATAGATCATGGTCATTCACAAAGCTTGACTTAGAGATATTGCAAAAGAAAAATACAAATAGCAATAAGTACTGAAAAACTCAAGGCTAAAAGAGAGCCATTTTAGAAATAAAAGTAGTTCCGAAATGTCAAGGACAGTGAGGCCTTTTTGAAGTACCTTAAAAGGGGACGCCTCTGGAAATTTGTCTCCATTTAACGCTCAAATACAGAGCGACAGAGTTCTCATGTGGTACTCATTAAAGGCTTTAGCTCTCACAAACCATAACAATTATGTAATTCACATTCAAACGCTGCGGCGTGCCATCAGATCAGATCACACCACGTATCGCTTGGTTTTCTGCAGAGAGGGGGGAATAATATTTTCCTTTGCTGAAGAAAAAGACGGGGCTGTTTAATAGTGATTGAGGCGGGCTGGCGTTAGAGGTGACGCATGCGGAAGGCATGCCGATTCGGCTGGGGTCTAGGTCAGATGGGAAGAGTGCTGCCTACCATTGGGACTGCAAGATTGGGTCACAGGGCCTGGCTCCAGTGCTCTTTATGGGCTTCCCATAGTCGGCGGCAGCCTGCCAACATCGACACCCTGTGACCTTTCCATGGCAGTTTCACTGCGACAGCATTTTACATGACCTCTGCATCTTCACCTATTTTGCCCAGTAACTATGTGGAAACTACTGTCATGTCCATAACGGTGCCAGAAGTTAAATTAGGTCGTAATTGCCAATAGGTGGCACAAGATGGCAGCAAATCTCTTTTTTCTATTTGATATGACCAACTGAAGCTGCTCCCCTCAGATCAAAAAAGGTTCCACCGTAATATTTTTATAGTCGACAGGGGCCTGGTCCGAGGACCAATGTGAGTTTTTCACCAAAATATGCGACTGTGAATTTCTGAATGTCGAAGTGCAAAAACGCAGGGGTTCACTGGATAAACCAAAAAGGTGGTTTGATGGCTGAGGTTCTACCGCACAGACTAAACCAAGCATACTTGTGGATCTTTCTTCGCGCGAGAGAGAACAGCTACGCTGGAGCAGAAAAGGGCACCCGACGTTTTCTACAAAGTTTGAAGCTTAAAATTTCAAATATGCCTGAGTATACTAAATAATTGCAATTTGGCATGGGGGTGCGGGGGTGACTGATTAATGAATTCAATAGCTGGCAAATGCAAATACTTTTAAGATATCCTCTCTAACATTCGGGAGATATGAAAAATAGATGCACATACATTTTTTTTTTTAAATCTACGTGTGGGAGGATTCCTTCCATGCAACTCCAAGATGCAACTCCAGGATGATTACAGAGAGGCAAGATACCGTTGAAGAAATATGGAAGATTTCCCGCAAATTCCAACATGTAGGACAGCCTTGAGTGAAGGAAGGAGCGTTGAGTCAGTCTCAACAAAGGGTTTAATAACAACACAAAATCTGGCTGGCGAAGCACAATAATTTCCCCTCCACAACTGAACACGAGAGAGGGGAGGAATTTTGGGCCTGGCTGTTTTATGACAAACGCGGCATAAAAAAACTAGAATGATATTTGTTTGTTTTTTTTTAAATAGAACACACTGTAATACAAAACATTTCTGCTAGTTGGGTTTCGATGGGCCCCGAGTGTGCCTCTGCTCGCTTTTCAAAACCGCTCATTAACAAAAAAGTTGTTTCCCTCTGCAGTGGGCTGTAATTACACTGGCAAAACTGATATCCCCTTGTATCAGTCTGATTCCAGGGAACATATGTGAGAGATTTGAGGGTGAAAGCAGAGCGCTAATACAAAACAGCTGCCTTGAGGAACAATCAAATGTTGAAGGAGTGAAAGCAGCTCGAGCTCTCCCTAAACCTGCGCAACCAATGACAGAGTGATACAAGTCACTTTTGTGACTTCCTCGTGAGAGAGGCGAGCTTCTGAACAGAGAACGACAACGGCGGCTGCGGCTAATGTGCTGTTATGCAACTTAATAGTGCAATTACTCACTAAATATTAGTATAGTGGTAAAGGTTGTCCTCCAGGCACAACTGCACAAGAGCTGAATGAACTGATCACAACTGTCAGGTTTGGTTACCACTGTCAGAGAGGTTTTCATCATCCACATGCGGATTATCGTATCCTGCTGGTGGCAAAATTGTTTTGTTGCGTGTGGAACTGCCTACGTGTTTTTGGGATAATAATGTTTGCGGTGGTGGTGCTTCAAATTCCAACGTTAGCCAGTCGGAGGCCGCTTTTCCAAAATACTGTCACCACTCCACGAGTACGGCGGGAATCTACGAAAACCACGCTGCATTGAACGCATCACTTAGAATGAGAGGCACAACCAGACAATGGGCACAACAACAGCGTCTCTTGCGTGCACTTTTCAGCGTTTGAGAGGAGACTGTGGTGGACTGTATACCACTAACCTAAAATAACGCAGTAGTAAAGTCATGATTACAGTCAGTATTTAAAAATACTTTCAGATGAAAATCAAGAAGCACGGCACGACATGTGAATGGTTTTTTTTTCTTGTGCTCAGTTTGGATTCTTCTGCCCTGGCAGAAAAATCTAATCCATTGAGTGCCTTGTGCGGTCGAAAAGCATTTTAATTTTTATTTTATTACCGATTTTTTTTCAAGTTTATTTTTGTTTCATTCGGTTTCATAACATGTAATAATAATCTTGATACTGAGATTGTAGTAATCAGGATTTACCCCCCCCCCCCGCCCCCCATCCCAAACTGATAATAATAAATTGTTATGGTCATTGGTGTGAAACTTGATTGCATCAACTTGTTTATTTAGTTTCATTGATAAGGGCCATGCCCAAATGGGAGAAAATACGCCCTGCACCACGCCGAAGCATCAGGCCTATATAGTGCAGACTCTTCACCATTACAGTTGTTTGTGGGATACAGTTTGTGTTTTGTTTAAAAAAAAAAAATCATCAGGGGTGGGCTTTTCCGCTTTAAGCTACATTTTTAAAAAGGACACAGGCAAGTTGATTCATAGATCAAGTGTCCATTTATAAGATAAGGTAAGATAAGATAAGAAATCCTTTAATAGTCTCACAATGGAGAAATTCCCACTTCACAGCAGCAAGGTTATGAGAGGAAGAAGTAGAAGAACAATAAATTATCCAATTATTCTTAAAAAAAAATCTATTTTAAAAACTGTAAAAAGGCGTGTCAATTATGGAGAATTGTGTGTTGTGCAGTTTAACATTACAATACATTAATATTATTCTGTAAATTTAGATTTTTCTAATATTTTTTATTTTATTCACAAAAAAAGCAATAAACCAATTGTCTATTTCGACTATTTTTAAAAACAAATAAATCATAGAAAATTGCAACACATATGCAACAGGAAACTAAACAATCCACAAAACGATTTAAAGAACAGAGCGGGCCCACATACTGTGCAAATGAAATTCAGACGTGCACCCACCCTGACTGGTCTGGACTCAGGAAGCTGCTGATGGCCGCCGGAAGCTCCGACTTCAAAATGAACATATATGATGACATGGCTGCGATAGAGCAGAGGGAAAGTTCACTGCGTTTGTTCGCAAAGACAAGCCAAAACAAGCACACAAAGCACAAAATGCCACACATGTGATTGGATTATTACTATTAAGTATGTATGTGGGTGGTGATGGGCGTCCAGCGCGCAGGCTGGAGGGCTTTGAGTTAATGCAGACGGGTGGAGCAGACAGCTCAAGGAGCTCAACGGCAAAGCCGCCAGTGCAGAGGAGCAGACGTAGTGCAGATCTTTGGAGAAAGGCGAGGGGGAGGAATGCAAACAATAATCATATCTGACGTTAATCCCGCCACTTCTCCCCTTTCTCCACCTCCCTTGGAAACGGGACATTATCAGCCGCCGACGGGCTCCCGCATCTTTCGAGAATGGGGATCAGGGTCACTTCCTTGGGTCACTCATGAGGGGAGGTGGGTGGGGGGGGACGCAAAAAGGGACGGAGGTTGCGGAAGAACAAGAGCAGGTTTGTGGTGTGAAATGGGATTCAGATGCAGCGTGCGGCCGGCGATAAAGGCAGATGATGTTAAGGGATTACATTTTGGGAAGGCAGACACAGACGGGGTTAGGAGGGACGTTATTGCCCCCGGGGCGAGGTTTTTGCCCTCGCCGTTAAATAAACTACGACCATAATCCCTCAGATCCTGCATGTGTTTATAAAGGAGAATTCCTCCAATAACCTCGCGGCCCACACAGACACAAGGACGCTCACTCTGAGAATAAGGAAACACATTAAGAAGCACTTAAATCTGCCAGTAAATGAGCCTCGTTTTGGGGATTCAGACAGAATTTGCTGCAACACGTCGTCCAAAATTTGTTAGGAACTAAAATCGAGGAGAAAGAAGACCACCATAATGCTCCATATAAAAAAATTTAAAAAAATGCACGCTTTGGCAGTTTTGGCATCATTCTTTTATGGGACGCAATGATATTCAACACAAGCAACATCGAGATTTGTTTCAATTAAGTCTTTGTTATTCAAAGTTTTGCACAGTCACCAATTGTATTTTAAACGTTTTAATAGTGCAAATCAATCAAACGTGTTCCGAGAAGTTCAACGTGCAGAAAAATAAAATAAAAAGAAGCAGATGTTGGCTGGGTGTCTAGCCCTTTAGGGGGCGGGATTTGTCCCACAGTCTGATGCTCCGTAGGTAGCTTCGCAAAAAGCAGTTAAGACTTTTAATGATTGTGAAGCCCTTCCTATTTGATAATGCAACTCAATAAGGATGCAACATACCTTCATTTATGGCAGAACAAAGATGAGATTTCTCCCAGCCAAGTTATTCGGCCAAATGCATCGCCACTGTGGGGCGATGCACTGTTCACATTCAGCTAAACCAGGGGTGTCAAACTCATTTCTCTCGCGGGCCACATTATAATTACCGTTTCGCTTGGAGGGCCGTTATGACTGAAACCATATAAAGAAGTCAAGAATAATGTTTTATTCAATTATTGTTTAAGTAATTGGAAAGAGGGTTTTGGGAACAAGAAAATGCATCCAATTTGTCACTGATTTATTACATATGAAAATTTGAAATTTTGGTACAGATGTTAGCAAACATCATGGAAGCTGTCGACGTTGATTTGCTTTTGCGGGCCACTTAAAATGATGTGGCGGGCCACATCTGGCCCCCAGGCCTTGAGTTTGACACTTGTGAGCACAACGGACTACAAATTGGAACGATAGTTTCGTTTTCGCAAAGCGAATGAATGTCACCCCGGCGTCGACGAGCATTCTTTTGTTACAAGCACAAAAACAACCATTGTTTTCTCAAGTGGATATGCAAAAAACGGAGGCATGAAAATGAACGAATCACTCTGCCTGTTGTTTATGAAAACATTTGATTCAAAGTATTATCTGTGTACATGGACGTAATGGTGTACGAAAACATTCAAACTATATGAGTGCATGGATGGAATCCTCCGGAATGGCTTGCAACTAACAATGCTGCCGATAAAATGTGCGGAGTGGCCGACAACGGGCAATGACAATGTTGGACACCAACCCACTATAACGTGCACTCTCAGTGCTAGCGGGACCAGGTAGGTCATAGTCCAACATCCATCTTGCCAACAAGCTCCTCTTCCTGCAACTTTTCAAACACCTGCATCCCCTCAGATAAGTTTGTAACGTCACTTTCTGACACGATTTCTGACTGCCTTTGTACACTTTCCATAGTGACTCCCACCATTGTTCAAATAGTGACGTTACACTTCCACGTTTGTCGCTAGTCAGGATGTCACTTTGGGAAAACGATTACTTTGTCAAATTTATTTAATCGTTTTTTTTTTTTAATTACTTGTGACATTAAATTATTTTGTTTGGGATTTTCTAAAATTACTCCACACTTGACTTGTGAATGGTGGTATCAGATATGCACGTGGAATAAGGCCTTCTCTGATATTAGCACTTATGCAAATGTGATAAAGATGATTTAGACTCTAATTTCGGTTTGTCTCATCCTTTGTTTATTCATTAGCTACCTCCCGGTTATTGGAAGATGAAGAACAGACAGTGGTTACAATTAAATATGATTCAGGGTACTGGATGAACCAGTTCCAAAGGTACCATATTAAAATGGCATACAATTATGCACTCTTACTGTATCTAGGTCATCATCAAAATGGATTAGAATATAATTGGTTGTTCCATCCTGCACCATTCCTCGACAAAGTTTTGGACATTGGTTTTGTATTCACTGAAAATGGGTGACAAAATTTTGGACATTGGTTTTGTATTCACTGAAAATGGGTCATTGTTTAAAAAAAAAAAAACATGATTTTTGCGCAGTACCATGTATTATGACAAGTTTGTGACTATTCTCACCTTGAGTCCATAATTACCTTCCTAGGATAAATGAAACATATCTTTTGAAAAGGCAGTGACAGCAAACATCAATGGCAGACATAGACAAAAAAATAAATAAAAATTATCCAACCACAAAAGCACGACATGCTGCGCTGGTTCAGTTTCATGCATTGGCTTGATACGTACGACATCACACTGCAACACTTTCACAACAATATCTGATGGGGTCACATAGTACTTACTTCTCTAACAAAGAGGTCCTTGAGTGAAGAGAAGGATTGGTTATTAGTAGAGTGGCCGGAAAACATGTTGTAACGACAAGCGTGTAGAAGAAGAAAATGAGTGTGTGCGCGTGTGGTCATCAGAGTAAGCACAGTCAGCGTGAAACATAAGACAGAATCACTTTCATTTGACTGTGCGAGCCTGTGGGCTGGCCAGTAATTAAGGTCAATTGGCCTATCAGCCTTTGGCAGTGCCGATGAATGTTTACTCAGAGTCAAGCTAATTGCGCTCTTATAAAAGGGGGCCTGGGTGCAGACAGATGCAGGCCCACATTGCGCCCCATGCTGGGGGGAAACCACAGACATTGCAGACGGGCAAGCGCAACAATCCGCCTGGCCGCGCCGCTAATGACCACCAGCGCGCTATCGCCGTGGCCGCAGAGTGAGGGGGCGGAGTCCTTAGGGGAGGGGTCCCATTTGGGTCTTAGAGGCTGGGAGTGGGTTTTACCATCAGTGATCAATTAGAGCACATGTCAGGTTTCAGGCCCCAGGGAGAGCGGCCGAGAGGACTGCAGCCATGGAGTCAAAGGTTATCGGGAGAGTCTGGATAATAGCCTTTACAGCCCAGCGGCAATAAACATTCAGAGGGGACGTATTTACAGCAGGGGGCGCTCTCAGCCTCAAGGATAATTGACATTGACACTGTTGTGGGGGGGGGAACCAAACAATGCTTTGCATCAAACATGTTACAGCAACCAAAACAATTATGCCCACCTGCACAATAGAATAAGAAAGGTGAGCTAAGAGGAAATTTTGGAAATAGCTATGCATGATGCAATGCAGGTTCCACACCACTGTAAAGTGCAAGCCCAATCATAAAAATATTGTTAAATTATTACTGTACTGTGTCGGTTATAACTGATTATTATTACATTTTAAAGGCAGAATTTCTCTTCGTCTCAACCGATTGTACAAACGCTCATATTGTTGTGGCCAGTTGATGTACATATTTTTAAAAAAAGAAGAAAAAAAAAAGAGGAGCAGACCTACCGCCAACATTTTGGATCAGGATTGCAATTCCAACAAGAACCTATCGAAATATTGTCAGTCAGTTCGCAGCAAGTTTTCAGCATGCCCATTTTTAAGTACATCTTGATCAAACTAGTAACTTGTACAACCAGAATGCAAGTACAGTGCAACCGTCAAAGTTGAACACAGACCATTTTGTGATGCTGACTCACATCTGATTTTACCGATATTAATTACCTCCCATTGGAATCATTTATTGCATTAGAAACAATCACTTCGAGAGCAACATGCGAGTATGCTCGCCGAGTAGTTCACACATCTGTCTAACAGCTCGGAGTTTCTGGGTTTGAAAGTGGGCTACCGCCTTCCTGTGGGGAGTTTGCATGCTCTCTCTGCGCTTCTGTAGGTTTTCGGCGGACACTCCAGGTTCCTCCCACTTTCCAAAAACACTTTCCTGTTCAATATTTACGATCACAACTCAACAAAGCTCGTCTCTCAGCTTTGTATGTACAGTATGGAGGATCTAAGTTTTACCTGGGCTGTTAATGCAAGCTACAGAGAGTCTTTGCCAGATGCGCATGCACATGCACAATGCATTTTTTTTAAATCAATTCATCAGTAAGTCATTCATTTTTAAGGGTTAGGCTGTAAAATAAGGTTGAAATGACAAACTGATTTTGGATAAGAGTTCAATGTGCTGGTCATGCTTAAAAAGTATCACAAATTTAAGAGCACCATTAAAATCAGTGAAAAGCAAAATAAACTTAGTGATGGGAATTTGGGCAATGATTTCAGCCTAATCAAAAGACAATACTTACTTTTCCTGGTTTTTCTAATGCTCGCTCTCCCAGATTTTCATATGAATTAATTCCTGCAGGAGTCAACAAATGATGATCAGTTATAATGAGGATATGGAAACAAATAGATGAGGCAATTTTCAGTCATATTTCTTGATGCAATCTTTGGTGATGTAAAAAGGATTGTTTTGTCTAAAATGAGAGCGTCACTCTCACCTGTCAGGTCACAGAGCTTGAGGAGGAGATGTATGGAATATGCTGCCAGGCCGGACACGAGTGTCAACAGGATGCTAGGTAAGAAAGACGGACAGAAATGAAGCTTCTCTAAATTGGCTTAATTCATTTAGGGCACACGTATTATTGTTTGCTTACCAAAAGCCAACTATGCCGGTGCTTGCCATGGCATATGCTAGTCCGAGAATGCCGCTGCCCATGATTGCATTCATCAGGTTAAAAACAGAGGAGGCAAAGGAGGCGCCTTTGGCCCTGCTCGCCTGCACACAATATGAAGACGGGCTTAGAAAACGGAAGAAATCAAATCATTTTAATTGATGGTGTGGACAACAACTGGTCACGCCTGACGATGGATCTCATGAAAGAGCAACACGGTGGCATGTGGGATCAGGGAATGGAAATGGGAATGGATAGGATGAGATTTGAGCCGCAGGCTGCAGGACAGCTGCCTGAGCTCTGGATAAACTGATTGACCCTTCTAATAGGGGATATCCTGGAGAGAACGAGTGGCAACTCTGGTGTCGGTGTCACAACAACCGTGGATTGACCTGCAGACCCGAGATACACTACCAAGAGACCCGACGTCATTTCCAACAGCAGATGAATTTTACATCCAAAGTAATCTTGACATGTTCTTTGTTTCAGCGAGCCCTGCTACAAAAACAGCATAGACCAACATGGTTTTGTTAAGTTTTTTTTGTGCTCGTTTTGCTGGCGTCACCAACAAAACCAGCAGCAAAAGCACACCAAAAAAAATCCAACATTCAAACAGCTAAATCTTCAGCGACTGGGCAATCAGCTATATGTACTGAGCCACAGCTGCTCAGCAGTGCCAGCATGTTGCTGCGGCCCTGCCACGAGCTGGTGATAGCAGGTGACCAGCTGGAGTTTTGCTGGGATCACCAGCTCCCAACAGGGCAACAACAGCTTGGCGGTTTTGCTGGATGGCTTTGGTTCTGTTGGTAGAGCAGGTTTCCCAGTGACCGAAGGTTTGGCTATTCGAATCTTGGCTGCTTTAGTGCACTTTTGCTGTTGGTCTTGCTAGTCACAGCAGCAAACACAGCATGCTGATGTTGCCCTTTTAGTACCTGGTGACACCAGCAAGACCAGCACAAACACATAAGACCATGGTGGTTTATGCATTCTTTTTTTTAAGCAGTGAGACTATATCCATCCATCCATTTTTCAAATCCGCTTATCTTCACGAGGGTGGCAGGCACGCTTGGAGCCTATCCAAACTGTCCTCGCGCAATAGGCGGGGGACACACCAAACTGGTTGCCACGCAAGCGCAGGGCACACATAGACAAACAGCCAATCGCACTCAGAGTCAGACCTAGGGGCAATTTAGAGTGTTCCATGAACCACTCACGCATGTTTTTGGAATACCCAGGGAGTACCCAGAGAAAACCCACGCAGGCACAGGGAGAGCATGCAAACTCAACACAGGAAAGCTGGAGCCAGAATCGAACCCTGCAGCTCTGCACTGTGAGGCTAACGTGCTAACCAGTCGACTACCCTGTCAACCAGGGAGAGTATATGGCAACAATAAACCTTACACTTGCATTAAATGATGTAACTTTCCTGTTCAGCGTCCCATCCTGTTTGCACAGTCAGCAGCTCAACATGCCAACGTAAGCAAAAAATATAAAATCGTATATGGCCAAACCAGTGCTGAATTCATCCGCTTTCTGATTCGCACGTCTTAAAAATTCAGCTGACTAATGGTCTTAAATATCGTATACGTATTTACTGTCGTCAAAATAAAGCCAGGTTTGCACAAATATATTAAGTACATATAATTTACGGCTAATATGAATCGTGTTCTATCATAAAGCTCTGGCATTTTTCAAAAATAAATATGCAATGATAAGGAATTGAGTAATTTCGAGCTCTTCGTTAGCCGCAAACATGTTTGAGGTGCAATTCCAAATTGCATTACAACAACGTGTAATTTAAAATGAGTCAAATGCACATTCCTATTTCAAAAGAAATAAAACGACTGAATGTGATAATCTGATTTGTTATAATGATTGAACTCTAGAGACAGCACTTCAACGGAACAAAATTATAGTTTTACTGTTCATTTTTTTTCTACTTACATTTGACAAAGGCGTTGTTTCATCCCCTTCTGTCTCTATGGTCGCAGATTGGCTGTCAAGTTCTGCGTTTCCAGTCCCGTTCAGACTCATTTTCACCAAGAAAAGAAAAAGAACACGAGGAACTCCAATAATGTGTCACAAAAGCTTGGCGCCGTGACTGAGAATTATATTACCATATTCTCAGGTAGAATTTTTTTTCATCCGTCTTTTCTTATTGGCTTGGTGTTGTTTAAGTCATGTGTTTGTAATTTCCGTCGCACATTAACGTCATGAAATTTCGGACCAATCAAACACGAGGGTTTTCACTGTTGACCAATCACAGGAGAGCACTGGTCCACTACGAATGACGTTGTCAAGGAAGCGTGGTTGTTTCTGAAGGATGTTGAGGTAAGAGCCGACTGTCAATGTTTTTGGCATTGATCAGTAAAATAGTTGACACCCAGCCCTTTTAATTAACTAAACGTGTCGTGCGTGTTAGTTTTCTCACGTATATGCATCTTGAAGCGCCTGGTTTGTCGTTATAGGCTCCTGAAAAGAGTTTTTTCATCTGTAGAAACACGAGACAAGACGAACGTTTCCGCTATTCTTCGAAATCTCAGCTCTGCAGCCTCCCCCTGTGCAAATCTTGCACTGAAGCCCCAAATGGAGGCCAAACTGTACCAGGCGCCTCCGCAGGTGCGCGGTATGACTTCACTTGACAAAGAGGCCTTCGCACAGACAATCACTGTCCCAGCTCTACGGGTGCCCACGCGGTTTCTCAACAAAGTGATGAAGAGCCTGAGAAAGTGCACCATCCAGCGCCCCGGGGTCCCCAGAGTGGTTCAGGATAACGATGGGAGTTCTGACTACAGGCTGGTGCTGTTGGACCCTCACAGAGTGCCCTCATCGGGCTCCTTTACTGAGGCTGAAACGGAAACGCTGAGGTCATTCGATGTCTCTCAGGAGCTACAGGACTATGAGCTGAGACTGACCTACGACAATCTAAAGAGTGAGGAGGTGCTGGAGGCTGTGCTGCCTCTGGGGCAGGACGTGACGTCAGCGTTCAGCCGAGTGGGACACATCGCACATATGAACCTCAGGGACCACCAGCTCCCATACAAGAACCTCATTGGTGAGATCCAGTGGCTAGATGTGCATTATTTTCTGGCCTGTGGACTTACTCAACTTATTCCACCCCTTAACACCACCATCCCGTTGCAATTAAAAACTTTCAGTACTATATAAAAAAAATGAAACATGACATGGCAGGCATGTAGAGGCAGAAATGTGATTGAACAAAAAAAACTCCGCAGACACCTCCTACGAGCAGTGCAGCCAACAGAAATTTTATTCAAATTAATACAATTACAGTACATGGAACACATTTTAGAATTTAGATTGCAAATGTAGGTTCTGTGTAAAGGTGTCCCGATAGTCTTTAGACCAGCAGATAAGGCCTTGCTGGACACATGATCCCCCCCCCCCCCATCCCAAAAAAAAAACAGCAACAACAAACAAACTTAAGAAACATGTTTTCATGGATCATCATAAACAAAACAGAGATTTAAAAAAAACAAACAAACATCAAGCAAAATTTTCTGCCCCTCCCATTGTAGGTAAAGTGATCATGGACAAGAACCCTGGTGTGACGTGTGTGGTCAATAAGACAAATATTATCGACTCAATGTATCGCAACTTCAAGATGGAGGTGCTGGCTGGAGAGGAGAACATGGTCGCCAAAGTAAGTTAAAAAACGTCTAAAGTCGGTTCAAAAGTCATTTTGCACATGAGAAATTGATTGTGGCCACGTAAAATTTGCAACATGCGTGTATGCATTTATTGATTTTTAAGAAACATGAAAAATACGGTGAGTGTAATAAAGGTGCACTTCACTGGTGAATTTTTTTCCAAACAGCTGTTAAGTGTTAAAATAAGTTAACCAGACATGTAATGAATAATATCGTTACAATGGAAACTGTACCACTACCTCAAAATATGACTTAGCTGTAAACAAACAAATCCTGTACATACACCACATGCTTTTCATTGGACAGCGACTATAAAATATATGCAACTTCCGTTTTAGGGTTGTGGCTGAGCCTGCGCCGATCCCAGTGTGGTGTGTGATGTTCGTTTCATTGAGTTTGAATGATTGTCTATATTTGATTGGTTCGCGACCACTTGATGTCAGCTGGGACAGGCTTCAGCTCACCCGCCACCATATTGAGGACGGGGGCTCAAGAAAATAAATGGATGGACGTTTTATTCTTACATGGCAATGATGTAAGCTCAGATGCTCATCACTATGTTTCCCAGGTGAAAGAAAACGGGGTGACATACGAGTTTGACTTCTCTCGTGTGTACTGGAACCCGAGGCTGAGCACGGAACACCAGCGCGTGGTCGAGCTCGTCAAGCGTGGTGACACCGTGTTTGACATGTTCGCCGGCGTGGGACCCTTTGCTATCCCGGCGGCGCGATCGGGCGCCGCCGTGTTCGCCAACGACCTCAACCCGGAGTCGTACAGGTGGCTGCAACACAACTGCAAAGTGAACAAGGTAGAAGGCAAAGTGAAAACCTTCAACCTGGACGGCAGAGCATTCGTCCGAGGGCCGCTCAAGCGAGAGCTACCCGCGCTGTTTAAGGGAAAAGGTGGCGTGCACGTGGTCATGAACCTGCCCGCTTTGGCTTTGGAGTTTCTGGATGCTTTCAGAGGCCTCCTGCATCAGGAGGCTCCCTGCGACGACAACCTCCCCACAGTGCACTGCTACGGCTTTTCTAAAGACAACAACCCGGAGAAGGACATGGTGGCGAGGGCGTCTCTCGCCTTGGGCTTCCCTTTGGAGGGCCGCTGCTCTGTGCATTTTGTCCGCAACGTGGCACCCAACAAAGACATGATGTGCGTAAGCTTCACCCTTCCAAAAGAAAGCCTCTTCAGCCAGTATGAACAGACAGGTAAGAATTGACACGACATGATTTCAAATATTTAGAATGATAAGAGCCATGCGCTTGACAAGATTTATTTGAACTTGATGTACGTTGCTCCCAATTAATTGCCTGTGTGTCCACGCTAGAAACACCCGGTAATTATCATTCTAATATGTTGGTCGATTTGTGTTAATATTGACATTGCACTGACGGACCGTTTTTATTTTATCTGCAATTATCCGCAGAATCTTCAGAGGAACCAACCCCCAAGCGGCAAAAGTGTGAGACAACAGATTCATCGTGAAAGTGAATTAAATCACAACTTGATGCCACTGTAAAAGTACGCTTGAGGACATATTTGAGTTGATCCATTTTTTTTCACATGATGAACTGATAGCAGACACTGCCACAACAAAACAAGAGAGAGTGCAAGTTGTATCAAAAATTCTGAGAGGTATTACTTGGAAAAACATTTCTCATCATAGTTAGTAGTGGTGTAGTACAACCGCATTGCATTATACTGAAGGGTAGTTGTGATATTTCATTTCCTTTGTCTCCATGACAGTCTCAATCGAAACTTTTAGAATTTTGTGTCCAGCTCTTCTATAGGAGCTCATTTGCTTTTTTTTTTTTTTTTATGTCCCTACAGTAATGTTGTGGCCTTCTTAACAATTAAACGAAGTTGAGACAAGCTCTCAGCTCTTAGAATCCAGAGCTTCCTTGAAGAAGTTTCCTTTTTAAATAAATTGCTCTAACAAAAGACAGACTGAATTGTGATTTATTTACTGTACATCTAAAAGTGACCAAAAAAAAAAAATCTACATCTCACATCACTGACCACCATTGTAGCATTTGTCCTCTTCAGTGATGTATTAATAGTCCGTTGAATTGTGTCAGAGTTTGGGGTCAGCCAACACAGGGAAAGAGACCACTGAACGCATCCTGAATGGCTCGATGACACGCCAAAGCCGAGCTGTATCCTCCGGCTGTGTCCTGAGGCATGGAGGACCGCACGTGGTTCAAGTATCTGTAAACACACAGAAAGCCCCCCGCCCCACTCTCGTCAGTGATGTCATGGAGGTATTCTGTAAATCATGACGCCGTCTGACAGCCTGAGCGTTGCTTTCAAGAACAGAGAAACCCGAGTGCAAGTTTATCCGTTGTCAAATCCACACTTGGGGTTATTTTTTCTGGCCCTTTTTTTTTTTTTGGTCCTCTGATGAGATCGACGCAGACACACGTAAGTGTACGTTAACACTGAGAACACCTTGTGCCCCGAAAGCCTCTGCAACACGGCGCTATTAAAGTATTAGAGGTGTCTCTCTTTTATTTTAAGTGCTTACAGATGTATCCTGCCAGAGTAGCTCAGGTTTTAAGCAATGCTCAAAGTCAGTGTTTATTTTCACAGTGTCATTCAAAAAAAAAAAAAAGTTCTCACAATGTGCTCACCATCAGCGCACTTGTCTTGTAGCGAGAGAGCTACAAAAGAAAAGCGCACGAACAACGAAGGGTATGTTTAAAATGACCCAATTTTTCTTTGAATGTTTGGAAAGTTTCACACTGGCAAACACATCCCCTTCGTCAGCATAGACATGTCAGCACACCGCCAAACAAAAAAATGATGCGGCATACTGAAATAATGATGATCCACGGGTTAAATGTAACATTGCGTGGAAGACCGTTTCATTGTTGTGCCTGTCACTATATGTCGCCTACGTAAACAGATGAACAAAGATACATTAAATTGGAGTGCATAAATCATTTGTAGACTAATTTAGTGACATTTTCGAGTTAAGACATTTCTTCCAGAACCAATTCATTTCTTAAGTAGAGGTACTACTGTATGTTAAAGACGGTATGGTGTAAATTGTAAATGCCACCTAAAACAAAATGTGCATTGTTTAAAGTGAAAAATACGCCCCGAAACACACCCACACACACCTAGGGCCTTATCTGTCCTGTGAGGGCGGAAAACTTCAAAGTCAGACAGGACTCAAGAGCACAGACGTCTGTGAATTCTATAGCCATTCAAGATGCTTTACACGGTAATCCAACCCCTGTGTGATGTCGGTGTATAATTGTGAGAAAGTACGCAGCAAATAGATCGTGTGGTGATGTCAGCTCTACTTGGCGCCGACGCTTTCGTTTTCTTGCTAGCATGCAGACGCGCAAATATTTTAGTCATACGTCACGCGACGTGACCTTGTCGGGGCCCGCGACCGTGCGCGCAAAGTGAGACGAAGAGCAGCGTGGGGACGTCAATGCGTAGAAAGACCACTCATCGGCCACTAGAGAAACAACACAAGTTCAAAAGAGGAGGGCCAGTGATTAATAATAACTTCATTAGCTGCGAGCTGCTGTAGTCTGTCCTTCAGAGCACTTGAGGGAGGTCTTCTCATATGGCTTCCTGCATCCGATGAGTGCTGCCTATTGATTATATTGTGCTGGGCCGTTTTAATGGTGAAAAAAGTGGGCTATTTACAGCCGGGCTAAGTCTGCTCTTCCTGCTAATCTAATCCCCAAGCTACTCATGTGGTCATTCCTTCCAAGAAAGCCGAGAGCTCTGTGTAACTTTATACCGGCCTGCCCCTAAGGAGAGAGCAAGAGAGCAGAAAGAGAACATGAAGGCGGGGGGGTGGGGAGGAAGAGGGTGTGCAGTCTGTATCCGTGAGTGTGTGAGAGAGAAGGTTTGGGAAGTGGAGGTGGGGGGTGTGCAGGTTACGACTTAAAATCACCTTTGGGTATCATGGTGACAAAGCCTCTTCTCTTAAACCAACCCCATTGGCCTCTGCTCACCCCTTGCACCCCACGTTAGTTCAGTTCTGCTCTATTAAGCCGGCGGCTCTATCTCCCAGTGAGCTCCAACGGCATCCAAGTGCGTTTACACAAACCAGCACTTGACGTTTCGCGATGGCTGGCCGCTGGGGAGCATGGCAGGGACATGCTTATTGGCATTTAGTAACATGGGAAATTGTAGTCCAGCTTGAATGCAACACATGAAACGCAGAAACCGTTCCCGCGAAAGAACGTGCCCAGCTGTGGATGAAGGTAGCCTGCTAACTAACAACCATTGAACAACAACAAAACCAGCTGAAGAATGCTCACTTTTGATTATACAGCCAAAAGCAACACCACTTTTACAATCGCCTCAATGATTTTAGTTGTACTTGCACAATTAACACAGCTAATCACCATAACATTATTCTGAATACAATTTATCGTGTACGCTGCTTTATCTCAGCTGCAAATCTCCTTTCGCTCATTCCCATCTCTCTCTCTTCTAACACTCATTCTCAAGGCAAACTGCCGCTACACTCCGAGTCTCAAGTCTGTTTTAAGTTTCTTCCAAAGAGGTAGTTTTTCCTTGCCTCCGTTGCCGAGCGATTCTACACGTGGGGGGTCAGTTGGTGTCTCGATGAGGAGAGCGGTCTTTGATCTGCTCCATATGTAAAGTGCCTTGGGATCATTTCTGTTGCGAATTTGAGCTAAATAAATCACATTTGATTCAATGAAAAATGTTTAAGCCTTGGCAGAGGTATTTGTGCTGTCGGATGGCTTTTGATTCTCTTAGTTAGGAGGGTGCTGACTGATGCATGTGACCTGGGGGGGGGGGGGCACTGGAGGGTCACGAACGGGTTGGAGAGTTGGTGCAATTGTGCATTCTGTTTTATTTCAAATTAAAATAGGTCAAAATTGTATTCCAAGTGTATTGAAACACACGTGCAGAATGTGTTCAATACAATTCCCACGCAGTACAGTATGTAATGTACTTGCAAAAAAAAAAAAAAAAAAAATGAAATGCCAAAATGCACTTTAAGCGACAGTGCCAACAGCTACACTTTCAAATGTGTGCCCACATGCCCCTCTCAGCAGCCATCCGCCCGCCTCACCACCCCCGCACCACCCCCCGATTCTCCCTGAAGACCGGACTTGCCTTTTGTTCACGGGGCCCTGAAACCCAAGCCGTTTCGCTCTGTAACATCTTTCACTCTCTCGGCCCCACTGGAGCATTAGCTGCAACTTGATCTGAGTCTTTTCAAAGCCTCATATTATTGTGTAAATATGGGTCACTTTGGATTGTTCCATTATGTCGCTTTGGGGGAGCGGGACAGGGCGAGTGCAGGTGATGAAGAAAGCGTAAGGACACGGTGGTGCAGTGTGCATGTCAGACTGCAATCAAAACCACAAAACATGCACGGGGTTTTCCACTTGCATGCACATTGACAGGAAGATTTATGACTTTTTTTTTTGGAGTCAGCCATCTCTTTGGCATTAAAATAAGTAAAACTAAAGGCAATCTGCTGCTTTTACGTTATTTCAATGGGCGTTGAGCCATTTTTTTTTTCCCACTTTAGATCTGGAGTCCTAGATACATGAGCCTTTCATCACTCATAACAGTCAGAAATTTCCCTGAAAGATTTCTTTGGTCCCACAGCCTGGATTACACAACAGTCACATCCCTCATTTCAAATGAAAAGAAAAGTGGAGATAATGTTCCAGCGAGTTCAGCGTCATTTAGAGCTAAGAATGCACGCGTCCTTGTTAGGTTTGGATGCACAATGCCGTGGAACCAAGGTGGTTACGGTTCTTAAGTCAAACAGCTACGATTCTGAACGGGAAACAAACGATACCAGGCATTGGGTCCCTTGTCTAGACTTCTCAGATTGACTGGAATTGGATTAAGAAAGCTTGACGGAAAAGAAAAGGAGGCGGTCCACATGTAACATGCCGCGCTGGTTATTTCAGCAGGCATACACTCAATGAACACACAGACCACAGAGCAGACGCACGCAGATGACGACGCAATCAAAGCGCCTTCCAAAAAAAAAAAAAAAAAACCCCTCATTGTCAAAGCGCTGTTTGTTTGACTGCAGCCTTTTACACATGACAATATTCAGCAAACAGCTTTAAAGCACGTTCAGTTTTTGTGATCGTGAGCCAATCCACTGAATGAATGCAATGTCCAACGACGCCTTTCAAGTTTTAGCGGTGACCCGAGACCGGACCTCAGCTTGAGCACATGTTGGCTTTTGCAGCGCTCTGACTGATCCACGGTCATCTCTCATTTTTATTCCAAAGGATCAGAGGCGTTTTTGGCTGCCTCGCCGACAATGTCAAATTATTCATATTGAGTTCAGACTGGTGCATTGATGTGTGCACAACAAGCACAGCTGACAAACACGGGACATGGAGGGAGCACCATATTTGTCAAAGGCCAGTCATGAGTTGTGCGAGATGGCAGCAACGGTGCCCGGAAGTCGTCCTTTAGCGCTGACTGTGGTTGAGGATTCCTGGCCTGGAAAGGATGAGGGCCAAAGGAAGAAGGAGAAAGGGAGGGGTGGTTGCACAGAGCCACACACCTGCCAGATGATTTGTCAGTATAGAGGGGTCAGCACTCAGCTGTCACCCCCTAATCACCCATCCTAGCCCTTAAGTCTACCCCCGCCAAACCCTACTCTCCAAAAACACCCCCTCCCGGCATTCCTCTGGCAGCTCCGGTTTCACCCGCAGCACGGTTGCCCCATCTGCCCCTCCTTTCCACCACTCCAGCCCCAGAGAAAACGTACCCGTGTGGAAGATGCAGCACACTGAGCACATTGTGTGTAACAGGCGGTGCGCGCTTGCGGCCCCTGTGAGCGGGTTACACAATTCATGTTTGTCTAAGGGCGAAGTTGTTCCTTTTCTGGACGGACGGCAAATCCGGCAGAGCACAGTACAGGAATTGGTCCACAGTGCAGTCCAGATACCCCCTGCAGACAAGGCAAACATTCTCACAGGTATGCTATATCTGTCAACAGCAGCTTTTCAGCGCCACAGGTCAAAGGTCATCCTCTTTTCCATTGAATCCAGCTTCCTCTGGGATGTGGCAGCATGTGAGAAGGACCCTCGACTATTAGCCGGCCCACTGTCCGCCAGATTATCTCAACTTGTGAACGAGTTAAGGGGACTCGGTATTGTTACATCACCTCTTATCCATTATCAAGCGTCTTATCATCACCACTGACAGACCGAGGCTGCATCCCTGAAGGAGAAGTGGCAGAAGCTATCACTCGCACTTAGTTAAGAGCAACATGTTTAGCGTGTTAACAGATTCTCTGCTTGATACTTGAAATTGACACCCACCTAATACATGGATGACACCCACCGAATACACGGAGGCCCAGTGAGAATCTGTAAGTTGCCCTCAAGTCAGAAGCTTTAATGATAAGCGATATTGTCGTCTCTTACAGACATCGTCTACGATAACAGCCGATTGTTTTGCATGTGCCTGAAGACAGAGTCCCTTCCCGACCTATCGCTGCCACCTGTCACCACTCATCCACAGCGCTGTCTTGCTCCTGCACATCCCAAATCCAACCTGATGGGGTCAGTAGAGGCTGGCTAACTTGGACGAGCTTCATGTCAAAGTACAGCCAAGGTGCTTGGAGGGACATCACACATCCTGGGTGCTACTTGATATAGAGGCACGTCTTTCTTTCTTCTCCGGAGCTGCCACTTGATAACCCTGCGCCACCCTGAAAAGCTTAAAGGAAGGAGGGCGGGCGCCCAGTGGACTGTAGAGGGAGAAGAATGACATGACATCAGTGTGTCGTCGCTAACCAAATGCAGCTGTAAACAATGGAGGGACATATGCCGTTCTGGGAATGGCTGCTAGCCTGGGGCACACCCATATACACCAGCAAAAGTAGCGTGACAGATGTAACATTCTGGGAATAGAGCACCTATACACAGAGGAAGAATAGAATTTTCCCGGGAGGAGGAGGTGAGGGGTGGGTATCAATTACAAATCACCTGAAGCACTGGAGGGGGCAGGCAAGGTGGATTTCAATAAGACAAGAGAAGAAAGATAGGGTTGTAGCAAGGGCAAAAAGACAAGAAACAAGGGGGCTCAAAACGCATACATCATCTAGGTGATGTACTTCCTGCCTTGAGGTGTGTGAGTGTGGTCAAATCCACATTACACAAGTTTGCTTTCTTTCTCCCGCTCTTAAGAGGGGAAAATGAATCCACTAATCACCCATACATCGCAGGACACTTTGATGCAAGAGGAAAGAGCAGGCAGGGTTGTGTTGAGTTTGCGTGAACACAAACCCACAGTGTGCAAGCACATTAGTTATGAGCGCAGTCAAACTGGAAAAGCATTCGACCTTCGAGTGAGCAGCTGCTTTCGCGAACCTCCACAAATATAATTGTGCTTCAAAATAGTCACGAGAGATCACCTCTGCAGAGTATTGGCCTTGCTTGCAGTGAAGCTGTGATGCCAATAAACCTGGAGTTCCCTTCATGCTGGAAACCGGCTTGCAGTGCCCGGCTGCATCTCAGAGGGAGACTGCTAGTCTGTCTGGCGCATAGCCCAAAGAGAGGGGGGAAAAAAACAACAACACTCAAAGTGGTGCTGTTGTAGATAAACCAGAAATGTATCTTTCTCACTTGTGTAATGCTCGCTACTTTTCAGAAATGACTCACAGGCAAGTAAAAAGGCTTCTCAACTGCCACGCACACTTATTTAGGCTGGTACTTCGAGAGGATCAATATTTGCACAGATCTATGGGAGGGGAAACAATAGTGATTCGGCCTCCACCAGCGCTGTCTGTTAATGGTCTGTTTACTGAGACAGACAGGATAATGGCCTGGGTGGGGGTGGGTGCACAATTGAACGATGGCTGCACTCCATATTGTTTTTGATCTGGTTAGTAACGAAGAAAGTCCGCACCGACAGGACGACAGAGGCTGAGAATTTAAGCTAGGCCGAAATCACGTGATGGGCGGTAAGACACGGGGGGCGCTTCGTCGAACATGGACAACTTTGCAAGTCAAATGGCTGCACTCCAGCCTGTTGTCTGACTGCGGCTGCGATCTCTTTTGGCTATGCAAATTTGAAAATTTGTGACCGCCGCGAGAGTGAAGCCAAGTTATTAGACCAGAGCAATAGGAGCGCTTAAACGATTGCAAGGTCTTGTAACTCAAGAAAACATATCAGATATCTGAGCAACCAAGTTCAACTTTAGGTCTCAAAGTATTTTTTTGAGGGGGAAAAGCCCCTTTGTTATGTAAGACCCAAACAAACCAAATTCCCATAAAGAGTCGTTCTGGCAACAATGCTGACTCTTTTTATTGGCCCGTTGAGTCCAAAATATGAGTCTTTAAATTATCGTAAGAGTAGATCAAAGACAACTACTCTTCAGGGAGTTCATGTGGGGTCATTTCAACCGGCGCCATAGCCTCCTGCTCATAACTTAAGCATCAAAGCTGTGTTTGCGCGAGAGAGTGTGACTGGGTGAGGTTCACAGTCTCTCCAAGGTGCCATCACTCTGGTCCTGTCACTCTCTGCACCCTCACGTCCACAGTGCCGTACCGCAGGTCCACTACCGTCAGTGACCCATGACCCTCTCAAGGTCCTCCCCAATCACATCATCCCCCTCCAGCTACATCAGGCACATCAGTTGGATGCGCACCCAGGCGAGATCACAGAATGTGGGATAAATGGGGAAGCCCTTTTAGAAAATCCTCAGAATTTAGGTGTGAAAAGAAAAACATCATGTCTGACTTGGACTTTTGTTCAAAAGTAAGAGGAAGAACCAAAGGAGACAAATAGAGACAAATTTAGCAAGAGCAGAAGGAGATTCAAAAGTCCCGGATAGACGGCTTTTTGTGGTCATGCTAACTCCAAAAGCCACATCCACAGTGTCCGAAAAGCTGTCTGCCCGGAATTGGGGCACTGTGCACTATAACCCTGGCAATATTCACACATCACAAAAACACACAGACATCGTTGGGGGACGCTGCGGGTGAAGACTTCACGTAGGAGGAGAGTATCACTCAGAGACCCATTAACCCCTGGCTCACGACCAGAGCAGTGAGCGCAACATCCTTTAAGCACATGTTAAACACGGCTAGTCTATGTGTGTACAAGTGATTTATGCTTTACTTGTGTGAGCCTGAACGTATGGTCATATCAGGGACAATTATTATGTAATACGGGGGTTACTGGACCAACATAAAAACAAATGATTAATTAATTTTAAAAAACCCACTTTGGGGCCATTTTGAGCAGCCGTGACTGAAAGTTTTTGCGGCCCGGTCAGGCAATGGCCCGACACAGCACCGTTTAATGTCGAAAACTGAAAACGGATTTTTTGAATGAAATCCCTCAATATATTTCCAGTTTTGTTTTTTTCTGCTGAATCTGCTGAATCTGGTGGGACTGTCCCAGAAGACAAATGGGCCGACTGAATCATTCAGGTACAGTGACTGATGCTTTGTTACAGGGCCCATCTCAGTTTAACCCTCTCTGACTGGCCTGTTTTGGTGGGAGAAAGTACACAGAGGTTCACTTCCTCCCATGGAGAGGTGCATTCCCAGGAGAGGAGCCCCAGACTAAACACTGTTCATTCAGCTGCTCGGCATCACCTCGAAACAAGCGGCAGATGCCTGACAAGCACTCCCAACAGAACTCACTTTTTCCACCAATTATGTCAAAGAAAAGCAGGGGGAGGAGGCAAAACCTCTAAATATTATACATGCTGTCTTTTGGCAAGTGCATTGAGCAAATTTTGTCAGAGAAGGATGGGTAATTTCAGGGTGCTCAGAGCCAACACAAACAACTGTTCTGGCGAGGCCTCATTGTCAGCACTTGAGGTTTGAGTCAAATGTTTCAACGCTCTGTAGCCAATTGCTCTTATCCCTACCCCCACCAGCCCATATGATTTGTCCTTGTCCAAGATCTCAGTCAGCCTTTCATCACCTACACAGCCGGAGCTTTCAAAAAGTGTTCTTGTGGAAAACAAAGTCAGACCCCAGATGACAATCGCACATGCAAGTCCAAGCAAAAAGAAAGAGCGTTCCCGCACGGTCCTCCGTGCTGTACATAAGATGAACATGAGACGCACAGCCTCCTCCCACATTCAACCCTTCATGTTTCCAAGAGTGGTTATACTGTTGACAACGCTGTCGCAAAGATCAGACTGCCTATTCGAGACAAGACGCGAACCTATTACCACATGAGATAAAGGTTCAAACGGTCAGTAGAGTGGGAACGTCAATCAGTTCAAATGATTAATGAAATCAAAAGCTTAATGAAAGTACTAGGGCACAAGTGGGTGCCCAAGTGACGGGATACACAAAGGAACAAATTCATGGAAAAAAAAAAACGTGGCATAATTTTGTGGAATGAGGAGAAAACAGAATTGCCCTGGGATTAGTTTTTTTCCCCCATAAAACTGTACTAAAGAGACCGCAACAACTGATGGTGACTGAGTATCCTTAAAAGGTCTAGACAGTACTCTATTATGATACTGACAATATTTGATACAACGACATACCGTAGATAAATTCAAAACTAAATGGATAATTCACAGTGTACTCCGCCTTTTGCCCAAAGTCATCTGGGTTGGGATCCTGCTCAGCCATGACCCTGAACAAAATAATTGGTAGGATCACGGCTGGAAATTTGACCTAATGCTTGTTGATCACCAACAAAGCGTGTGCCACCTTTCAATATTATGCCGATAGATTATCAAAGACAGATTTTTATTTTTTATTTATTTATTTATTTTTTTCATGGAAGTACATTAAACAAGAGATCTTATCCAAAATAATCTGCCTTTACAAAGAGAGTGCTCAGTTTTGGCACACGCTGTCAGAATGGTACTAATGGTACACTGGGCATTAATGTAGTTGTTTGCTGCAGTGTAGAACTGCTTTGCATCATTCTGAGAGCTGTTTCGAATATAAGCCTCTCATGTCGCTAAATAAAGTAACCCGAGAATTAGAAACAGGCCGCCTGCTTGACGAGTGGTGAACACATCTGCCTCACAGATCTCGGGTTCTGAGTTTGAATTCCTCTCCCAACCTCTCGTTCCCTTGGAGGAGCTGTTCTATTTATTTTCTCTGGGTACTCCAGACTGAAGACATAACTGTCAATAGGGTTGACTACGGAATGAATATTGGCTCGTGACCACTCCAGGTGGGACCCCACCTCTCGCCCAGAGTCAACTAATGTCGGCTCCAGCTCACACGTGATTCTAATAATGATAAGCACTATAGAAAAATAGATGGAGTTGTTAACTCAAAACCTTTTCGACACATAATTAAATCTGACCAATAATACCTTTATGGGGACGATGGAATTTTTGATACAATACTGTCTATGTATTGGACCATCTGAGACCATAAAAGTGTGTGAATGTGGGAGGGAAGTTGAGAAGACACTTTTGAATGTCTGAACATGTAGTCCATCTGGAATGAGAAGTAGCGCCCCTTTCAGCCGTGTGTTGACTGGATATCGGTACACGAGCCCACGTCTGGAAGCTGTGGAGCCAACAGGGCGGGTTTGTGCCTGTGTGTCTATGTACTCCCGTTTCCCCTTGACGGCTGCATCCAAGACAAATCACCAGTGGTGCTGCTGTCACTGCGGGCCTTGACCAAGACAAACAGCCAAGTTTTAAAATAAGTACCTGCTGCCTTGCAGCCCCTTCCAGCTCATCCACACCGAGGCACATCCACGCTGAAACATATTTCCCTTCACAGGTCACAGGACTGGAGCTGGCGTCCAACACTCCGCACAGGGGACTCACTTTTCACCCCTTCAGCCCTGTCTGCATTCTCGCCCGCGCACACACGCGTTATGTGAATATTTACCACACAGCACATCGGTTGCATTCCAGCCAAAATGCTGGGAGTGCAATAACGGGGGCGATTCAATGAGGATACCAGGTTGGAGGAACATTGGCTGAGTGCATGTGCAAGCTTTGATCATCAATGTATATCGGAGCAAGCACACACAAAACTCCGAACATAAAGACCGTGCCAAACGTATTGGCACATCAAGGTCAAGTCATTTGGGTTTGTTGTGTCCTGAAGACATAATCTAAAGATGAATGAGACAAAAAAAAAAATGTGAGGTCCAGCTTTTGTTTGAATGCTATTTCAATCTAGATGTGTTAAACTTAGGACAGAGCATCTTTTTTTTTTTTTGAAGCCACCCACTTTTGAGCAAAAGTACAGGAACAGACATTTAAATTAACTTCAAATAAATAACAAGTAATATTTGGTTGCAAAACTGTTACTGAAACTAACTGCATCGAGCCTGCAACCCATTGACTTCATGAGGCCTTTAATCCTGCCTACTTCAGTTTATGGGTGTTTCTCCCATCAGTCTCCTCATGTTCTATTGGGCTAAGGTCCAGTTACTGACTGGGCCAGTCTCAGA